TTATAAAGAGAGACAGAAAGTTCATTATTGATCAAACATATATTTGATCGATCATGGACTAGTAATGAATTTATTGAAATTGTAAAGATTTTCACAAATTTGATAACACATACTACTGAAGTTGTAAATATTTCCACAAATTTAGTAAATATACCACTGAAGTTGTAAATATTCTTACCAAATTTGTGGTGTAGAGCGAGAGACAGAAAGTCCATGATCGATCAAATATAATGATCGATCATGGACTAGTAATGAATCCATTGAAATTGTAAAGATTATCATAAATTTGATAAACATACCACTAAATTTGTAAATATTTTCACAAATTTGGTAAATACACCACTAAAGTTGTAAATATTCCCACAAATTTGATAATTTTATTAACTACTGTTGTAAAATTTTCATTAATGTTGTAATTTTGTTCACTATAGTCGTAAACTTTTCACTAATGTTATAATTTTGCCCTCAATTGAATTAATGGTGGCAAAAGAGAGAGACAGAAAGTCTATGATCGATCAAATATATATTTGATCGATCATGAACTAGTAATAAATCTACTGAGGTTGTAATTATTCCCATAAAAAATTTATTTAAATTATAAATATTCTCATAAAAATGGTAAATAAAAGTGACAATTATTATTATTTTTTAGAATATATCAAAATTATTATTCAGAATATATCAAAATTATTATTTTTTGTTATCTCCAAAATATTTGCGATCTATCCTAAGATCTTGTGATCTATCGCAAGGTTGAAGTAGTTTCCCCCAAATTTTTTTGAAAAACAGTAAGTTTGTGATCAATCAGATCTCCTCACGATCGATCAAATCTCCTTGTGAAGTTATAAATATTTGAATCCATTGAAGTTGTAAAGATTTTCACAAATTTGGTAAACATATTACTAAAGTTGTAAATATTTCCACAAATTTGATAAATATATCACTGAAGTTGTAAATATTTCCACAAATTTGATAAATATTCCCACAAATTTTGTAATTTTATTTACTACTGTTGTAAAATTTTCACTAATGTTATAATTTTGTTCACTATAGTCGTAAATTTCCCACTAATGTTGTAATTTTGCCCTCAATTGATTTAATGGTAGCTTAAAAATACGTCTTGTCTTGTTTTGTCTATCAATCGGTGTAAATATATTAAAAATTTAGTAAACATACCATTAATGTTATAATATAAAATTTTCGGTATGATACAAAAAATACCCTTAGATGTACCGTGGCCTTCTCCTAGAAGTGCGATATCAAATTTTTTTTTTCGATACTATAAACTATTCCCCTAAATGAATAAGAATCTTAGATGAATGGGTTACATATAAAAAAGTTAACGGGACACACTAATCCACAAGTTCTTACTGATTTAGGATATAATTTGAGATTTTAATTTTAGAATTCCTAAAATTGTTTAATTTTATAAATTTTATGAGTTTTAATAAAAGGTTTTAGACTCTTTTATAACAATAACAAAAATTTACAAATTTTTTAACCGTGTTTAAACTTTTGAATTCGAGTTATAATTTAATTTACAATCAATCTTAAAAATATTAAGATTAATTTTAATTTTTTAAATATCGATCACAAATTACTAAAAAAAAGAAACTAATATATAGTATGAGTACAAATATTTTTTTTTTTTGAGTAATATTTAATATGTATTTAAATTGTGCTTTTTAGAATTTATTTGATTGCCTAGCATTTTCTTTTCTTTTTTTTTCGTACCGTAAGCTTCTCCCTAAACAGAGGAGAGAAGTGTCGGGTCAGTGAGTCACAACGACTAACACGCCCATGATATTTGCTGACAAAGTCCTGGGGGTCCACTTTATATTTGACAACTCCCTGTTCCACTCCCTCGCCCCTATTCTCTCTCCGCTCTCTCTGTCAATTGTACAAGTTGGATTTGTTTAAGAAACGAGCTGAGCTTGAACGAGTCAAACTCGAGTCGAGCTTGAGCCGAAATCGAGTATTTATCCATAAACGAATCAAGTTTATCAAATTTGAGCCAAGTTTGTAGGACTTGTTTTCTAAACGAACCTAAATACTTGTTTAAGTTCGGGCTCATTTAAAAAACAAACCAAACCTGAACAAGCTAAACTCAAGTTAAATTCGAATAGTTCAGTTTGATTAAGAGCTCTTGTTTGACCATTGGAATTGGTGGGATTTGATTTATAAAAATAATGTAATTTATTATTTAATTTTAATAGTGTTATAATGACAAATTATTCTTTAAAATTAATAATTATAATTCAAAACGAATATTTAACGATAGAGAACTCTCAAGGTCAAATTCAAGAGTTACTACCTAACTACTGGACCACTAGTCGTATTCCTTGGTCAAAAAAAAAAAAAAAAGTTGGTACGTAGTTGATGAATTCTGAAGCCATAACTGTATAACCAGAAGACTATTTTTATGTTTTTTTTTCAAAACAGGAAATTTAAACAAGAGTATTTATAGATTCCGTTGCCACAGAATGGATACAAATTACAGTGACCTAGAATAATTCTAAACACGGTCAGCCAATATTTGAATTTAAATAGGAGAACGATGTTTGAATCTGCGATTTTAAAATTCGACGACAAGAGATAGTGATCACTAAATTAACGGTTAATCTTAATTTAACGAGTTTGAATAATAAATAAATAAGTTTGGTAATTCCTATCAAATAAATAGATTCAACACGAATTTATTATATATGATTTAAAACTTGACTATACACATGATTGTAAATTTATATAATAAAATATAATACAATTTAAATTTCAAAAAATAAATAAAATGACTTTTATTTTTCGCAATTGAAATCTCTTTAAATTTTATTTTAAATTAATCAAACGGCTAATATAAACACCTAAATTTTAATACGAAAAATTAAGTAAGATTTATAACTTCTCATAAGTATTTTTAAAAAAAAAGTAGCATCACCCCACCGCCCCACCCCTACCATCATCACCATTACAACTATCGCCAACATCCTACCACCACCCATGTCACTACAACAACTACCACCATCTCTGTCACAACAACAATCATCATCACCATCGTTGTTGTTACCACCATTACCGTTACCCCACCACCATTATCATCATTACCACCACTCCCACTGCCCCACTACCACCACTGCTATTGCCACCCTACCACCATCACCATCACCAACGCCACCCCCCACCACCACTTTTGCGACAAGAACCATCATCACCATTGTTGTCGTCATCCTATCTCCACCGTCACTATCCCACCACCACCCTCACCCCCCCACGACTATCATAACTACCACTCCACCGTCCCTACAACTACCCTCATTGCCACCACCCCACCACCACCATCGTCATCCCCCATAACCATTGTCACTGTCATATCACCACCATCATCGTCACCCACCACTAATTACTATCATTGTCGTCCACCACCACACCACTTATTGACATCGTCATCTTATTCTTATATTTATTACTATTATTATCATCAGGCCACCATCACTGTCACCTCCCGTCAATACCCATTACCACTATTGTTGGCCACCATCACCCATCGTCACCCATCATCGCTTCTAGTCACTGTCACTCCATTCTCTACCATACCTATAACTACCCCCCTTCATCGTTCCACCACTGCCACCACCCATTGTCACCCACCCCCCCAGTACACTTACCACCATCACCACTACAATCATTCGCCACCACTCATCATACTGTCGCTCAAATACACTCATTGTTGCCCCCACTACCATCATTGTTAATTACCATCACTATTGGCCACCACTGTTAATCACCATCACTATCGCCCACCAATGTCGTCATCTATGACTGCTACTATTACTATTGTCATCCAAAAATCACCACCATCATCATCGTTGCCACCCCCATGACTATCGCCGCCACCACCACAATCTTTTTCACCCACCACAATCATTACTGTCTTCCGCTATCGCCCATTACCACTATTACCGCTCACCCCCACTACACACCAGTGCTTAAATTTATTTTTCTCCTTTCTATATTTGTGATTTTATTTTTTGTGTGAATACAAATATATTTATTGATGACTATTTTTTTATTACTCCGTGTCTTCAGGCACGAGCAATAACTAGTGAATAAATAAATTAAATAAATTTCAACACAACACAAACTTAACAAAATCATAATAAAAACCTTGCTCAATGGTTTTTTTTATAATTTATTTATTAGCTAAATGTAATTTATATCTAATACAAATGCGATACAACATAAATACAACTATAGACAGTTATATATGAAATATGGATAAGTTAAACAATTATGATATAATATGCATTTGACGTGAGATGATCTATTATCGACCCTAATTATAAAAATTTGCTTTTATTTATTTATTGTGTTCATGAAACCACTTTTTACTGTTTAAGACGGACGTGAATTTCTTATAATTTTTAATTTTTTAATTATATAAAATGAATATATATTAATAAAATAAATTTAGATAAAACATATAAAAAAGATTTGCCCCGTTTATTTACTGATGTACAACTTTTTAAAACAAATTTACTAATCTATAATAATTTTAAATTTATTTATCAATTTATGACACTTTTTAAAAACAGTGTCAATAAATTTGCTTTCAAATGGACTCTATTATAATTTAAAAAATAGATTTGTTAATTTTTTTTTTAAAAGTTTCGTAATAAATGAAAACATTTGTTAACTCCACTTAAAAAAAAATATCCTAAATTAATAAATAAGTTTAAAAATATTGGAAATTGATAAATTTGTTTAAAAATAGTAGTAGATTGATAAAATGATTCTCACATATACAGTGAAAAATTATCAATTAAAAGAAAAAAAAAACGATAAAGCTTTAAGGCAAAGCAGACAAGAGATCGTCCGAGCCTGTCCCCGCCACTCAACAGTCAAGACTCAAGACAGTCTCTCTCTCTCTCTCTCTCTCTAACAGTTTTAGGCCCAAAAGGGCACAACCACATTGGTCTTTTCTGCCTTTTGTTTCTGTGTTTCCTATGCCATCGTCTACGGCTGTTGCTTCTGCTCCCTCTTCTCAGCGCTGTAAATGGGGGAGGAATCATACTTTGAATTTCTTGTTAATATTTGATTCCCTCTCTCTTCTTCTCATCTTTTGGCCTTCTCTGCTTCTGGGTATCCTTCCAAACATGACTTTCTCCCCCTCTGTTCTTGCTCTAAGAACATCCCCCTTTAGATATATGTAATTCTTCCCATGATTTGACTTCATTTCCTAATTTCTAATGGTTTTTATTTTTGTGGGGACTTCTAGAGCACCACTTGATTACTGTCATCTTAACTTTAATTTGTTTTTTACTTCGTTTTTGTTGGTGGGTTTGTTACTGGTTGTTTGTATAGGTGTTGAGCTGTGCTGAGAACACCACAAACTGGGGGTTTCATGGAAATTGACCTAAACCATGCAGTGAGTGAGGTACAGAAGATTTCAGTTGCATGTAGTAGCAATGGGGAATGTGACAAAGGTGGTTGCTGTGTTTATTGCTCTTTGTCCTCTTCTACCTCCTCATGCTCTTCAAATTCATCCCCACCATCTGCTTCATCCTCAATCTTCATGGAGCTTTGGCATGCCTGTGCTGGGCCTCTCACTTCTCTGCCCAAGAAAGGGAATGTGGTTGTCTACTTCCCTCAAGGTCACTTGGCGCAGGCTGCCTCTGCCTCTCCCTTTCCACCCAGGGAAGTGGCCACTTTTGATCTCAAACCTCAGACCTTCTGCAGAGTTACTGATGTTCAACTACTTGTATGTAATGAAATATTCATCTCAGAATAGTTTCTTTGTGTTTACTTCATATTATCTCTCTCATTTTGCCTTTTCACTCGATTTCCTTTTCTTTATTTCTTTGGGTTTTCCGCTGGTGTTTGTGATCTTCTAAAACAGGTTAATGAGGAAAATGATGAGGTTTATACACAGCTCACCCTTCTCCATGTATCAGAGGTAACCTAACCAGTTAGTGGTACAGCTGCTTCGTATGTCAATCTTGGTTTCGGGAAATTGTAAGCTCAATTTGAGAATGGTGTTGTTATCTTTATGATTTTTTGTTATTTATTTTACTTGGGTTTCAGTCTTGTTCTTACTTTTTTTTTCTGAGCGATTTTTTTTGGGGGTGGGGTTCTCTATTCTGCTGGTTTTGGTTATACTCTTATGTCTCTGCTAAAACATTTATGTAACCCAAAGTGGTAGCTAAAATTCATTTCTTGGTGATGCCGTTTTCTATGGTATTTATATAGTTGGTAGGCCTGACATCAGAAGGCAAAGAGAATGAGGAGTTTGTTGCGGATGAGGAGGGGGATGGCGTAACACCCACAAAATCACCTGCTCAAATGTTCTGCAAAACACTTACAGCTTCTGATACGAGCACCCATGGTGGGTTTTCTGTTCCTCGTAGAGCTGCTGAAGATTGTTTCCCACCTCTGGTCTGGCTTTTTCTTTTTGTTTTGGCCTTTCTCGTTTGTATTTTTTATGGATTTAGTTAATTAAGTCTACGTGAAGTTTTCATTAACTTTGTGGTGCTTCTTCTAAATGTAGAATTATAAAGAGCAAAGACCCTTTCAAGAACTTGTTGCCAAAGACCTGCATGGCAAGGAATGGAGGTTTCGACACATTTATAGAGGTAGCTGATTAAATTTTGCACTTCAATTTAATTGAAGAGAAACTTCATAAGTTTAATGCTTACTCTCCAGGCCAGCCAAGGCGGCATTTGCTTACAACTGGATGGAGTACTTTTGTAAGCCAAAAGAATCTTGTTTCGGGGGATGCTATTCTCTTCTTGAGGTACACATATTTATTCAGCATTCAGATTCCTGAAAAAGAAAGTTTGGGTAGCCTTTGATACTTTATTTATGAGTTTGGAGGCACCGACACATCTTGTATGTACGTTAATTAGAAGTTAGAAAAAAGAAAGAAGGAAGCAAATAAAGGAAGAAAACAATGTGGAAGTGGAATCCTCTGCTAAGAATGCCTAGGAAGAATGTAGCCGAAACAATGATCCTAAAGCTATTGTTGATTTTGACGTATAAATACTTAAATTATACTATCTCTAACAACTTAAACTTTTGTAGTAGATGGTTGTTTAACAGTTCAAAATGCTAAGAATGATTCCATGTGTAATAAGAGAGATACCAATTTCAAAGGTCACCATATTGCAAAACAGCCTGTACAAAAATTGAATTCCAAAGTGAAATAAATAAGGAACTTGAATATTTCTCGGTGTCAAATGTCTCAAGGTGTTATTTTCAGCTTTTAATATGATAGTCTTTATGTCATGTGTAATGACTGGTCTTTGCCAGGGGTGAACGTGGAGACCTGAGGTTGGGAATTAGAAGAGCTGCTCGGCCTAGACATGGGCTGCCAGATTCAATCGTTAGAAATCAGAAATCTTATGCCAACATTCTCTCTCCTGTGGCCAATGCTATATCCACAAAGAGTGTGTTTTGTGTTTCCTACTGCCCAAGGTCCTACTCCAACCATACTCTTTTGCTTCTGTGTAGAATGTAGATTATAATAAATCAACATATGGCGTCACCTCTAACACTACAACAATTCATTAGTTTCAACTTCATGGCAGTCGTTGTTCACAAAAATGGTGTTCTATGAGTGCAACAATAAATTTGGTAATAGTTAAGTCTCCTAAAAGCTTAAAATCTACTGCATAACAATGGCTAGTACTACTTAAGAACTTACATCTATCATGGATGTGATTGGAAAACTAATGATTCTAGAAGGGCAAATAGGGATAAAGAAGATGAAAATAGGAAATGAAAGATAGCATTTTACAAAAAAAAATAAATGCTTATTTTGGTGAAGACTAGGCATACACTTTCAAAACAATTTTGCCCAAAAAATATCATCCACAGTATAGTTGGCGGCAATTTTATCAGAACCAGACCTGATTGGCCGATGAACCGGTGAATCGGGTCCTAGACTGATCCGGTTTGATAAAAAAACCGTCTATGCAATTAAACCACTAAAGAATCGTAAAACTGGCTGATTTTACAGTGAACCAAACGATTTATTAAAACTGGGCGGTTCAAATATTAAGGCATATAAAAAAACCTTACTTTGGGGGCAATTTTAGCCTAAATCAATCAAACCCTTCGGTTTTCTCTTCTGTCAATGCACAATAGCTCAACTCTAGTAAGGGAATTGAGTTCGAAGTCTCGAAATCAACCAAGGCAATCAGTCTCTCCCTTCTCCTTCCTTCTATTGTGGGCTTTTCCGTTGACTGGCATTGACTTGTCGCCGGACATTGAGGAGTGGTGTAGAAGGGTGGTTTGAATTTTTTGACATGGTTCAGAGTTGGTGTGTGAAGCTGGGTTGAATTGCCATCTCTCTGTCGCACACACACCACACACTTGATCTCTCGAATGGTCCACACTGCCCCCCACACTCATAATTGATAAATATCAAAGTATAGAAACCTAATTGAATTTTTTTTTTGTTGGGCAAACGTAATTGAATGAAATTTGCAAGTTTAATTAGAATTTAAGCTACTATTTGTAGAATTATGCTTTAATCAATGTGAATGTGATTGAGATTGTGAATTTTATTTGTAATGTGATTGTGATTTTTATTGTGATTGTGGATTTATTATATTTTTTATTTTTTTATTATACGATCAGTCCGACCAGTTGAACTAGTGAAACATTGGCTCGTTGCCGGTTCAATGTCCAGTCTAGTTCTGATAACTATGGTTGGCAGTGTTAGTGAAGTAAAATCCATGGTTGGAGCGTAACTGTATTAGTGTTATTTTGAATGTACAATGAGATGGTTACTGAAACTGTGAACTTTTTTCTTTTAACAGTCAAACATTAGCACTGATTGGTATACATGCTTTATCTTTCTGAGGTCAAGGGTTCAAATCTCTCTCTCTCTCCCTCCCCAAAAAATTAAAAAAATTAAAAAAAAAAAAAATTATAAGTCAATGTTATTGATTTTAATGGTTTCTCTTACACCTGTTTTAGTTACAGAATCTTATATCAGTCCTCGAGTTGTTGCAGCTCCCAATTAATTTCTGTTACTAAAACATTTTACTTCCTTCCGTTGCTAGCATTGCAATTAAATTAAGCAGTCATAAATAGAATTTAGTGCAGTATAAAAATCTTCAAAATCTAAATATGTGATTCTAACATACAAGTAGCAGTTCTTAATGTCTGAATTATAAAAGAGGTGCAAAAAGGAGACAAATGAGTTCTGCTTGTGTTTCTGGCATGCCTATAATATTCATGTGTTTTAATGAGCGGTAATGGTAATTTCAGCACTATAATGAGCTATAACGGCCAATACGGGACAGTCACGGTTGACATGCTGTGATTCTTGCTGTCATCAATATGGTTTGTCTGTAACAATAATGCATCCCAGAGATAGCGCTACATGATGACATCACATAATTCATATCAGCTGATATCCAAAACTATGACATCACCAATAATGTGGGATGAGTGTGTCTTGAGGATCTTACACTAAAATTAATGTTAAATGTCGCTACATTTACAACCTTTGCCCGCATAAAACAATTTTTATCAGGGCAAGGGATGCATGCTGATCATGTAGATATCTTTGTGGGCATTGTTTTGGTCATGGTTTTATGCTAATTAATGTTTATGCATAAAAAACTGTGCTCTTTGTTTATATTTGAGATCCAACAAGAACTGTAGCGTATATTTTTCTGCACTTAGAAGATGCAATTTTTACTGAAATGGAGTGACATGGTTCAAGATAGAGGCATTGGCTATTTACTCGTATTGTCACTAAGATATATCGATGACGGTGTCACGGAATGGTATGGGGCGATGTAACACGAAATGCTAGATTTTGTAGAACAAGTTCTACATGGATAGATTCAGACTGTATCACAGTGCTGCGAAAAAGGTATTCAGCTAATTCAGTGATGATGACTCAGCAGAATTGCGCAAGACACATGATATAAACAGTGGAACAGTGTTGAAAAGGAAGATGTCGAGTCGTATTGGTTTTGCCCGATTCTTTGAACCATTGGTAGTACCTTGGGAATTGATGGTGAGAATACATATCAAATGTTGTGGAGAAGCGAGATATTTATATCTTTTATTATCGTTCCATATTAAGATCTGTTTCCATTATTAACAGTGTCCTATGTAGTCCAGTTCATCTGTAGGTTATATTTCTTACGATTGCTACAATATTACCACATAAGCTACAGAAAGGTCAGAAATTGAGCAACACTTTAGGTTCCATAGTAGTACACTTGAGAATATAAAAAGCAACTGCAGGGTGAAGTGGAGTTTTGAACCTAGAGAATAGTCTTCACCGTTGTTTTGCATAATTATGGTGCTCAATGCCACATTCAATCCTTGAACTCCCCTTTTGGCCCCTGTGCTGGTGCACCTTTCAAAGGCTTCTGGGATGCGTCATTGTTGTAACGATATGTTGGGGGAGAACATCTTTTCATGGCTGATGTATGATTTGGTTCACTATACTACGGGGTTCTGCTGAGAAATGTGAATTAGTCTTAAAGCTTGACTTCAAACCTAGAAAATTGCACTAATGTCAATGTTATGTGGCTTGTACAGACCCAAGCTCATTAATACATGGAATATAAAGCCAATGAAAAGTTAGGACTCATTTGGGCAAAACGTGTGAACAGCTTTTCACTTTTAAACCTTGATGCCTGTTAAGAATTATTGCCCACTATTTCTTGCCTCTTAGTTTTAACATAAGCCATTTGCAGATTCTTTGTCATGATTTGAGTTATGATCTTCAAATTTTTCTTGCAAGTCCTTTTACTTCAAATTTTGTTGCTTGAGTACAAGTTTTGTTGGCTGACTAGATCTTAAGTTATCTTTCATGTGACTATGTGGGGATCTCTGCTTCATATCATGTAGTTGTCGCACATCTTGTGCTGAGAGCCCTTGCATACGAAAAATCCATGTTACGGTGTTACTTCACATTTGTTATGGGGTCATCGTTGCTGTATATCATAGTTATCAGAATCGGACCGGACATCGAACTGGCAGAGGGACTGGGTCAATGGTTCACTGGTCCAACCGTTGGGTCAACTGGTCGGACCGGTTGTATAATAAAAAAATATAAAAATTATAAACATAATAATTAATCTAAAATTTAGGACTTCGACAAAAATAAAAAAATAAATATAAGTAAGTGAAAAATTAATAGTGAACAAAAAAATTATTTATCACAAAAGCTTTGACAAAATGGAATTAAAAGAAAGGGAGAGATAAAATTATGTAATTAAAGGTTGTAAATAAAGGTATATACTGTGTATGTACTAAAGTCCAAATTGTACAGACAATTAAGCCTTGGGGAAGGAGATGTCGCCTGCTATATGTGAGTGAAACGAGGCACACACAGAGTGAGAGAGAGTGAGAGAGGACTTAATGGAGATTAGATCATAAGAGAACTCAAAGGCGCAGACAAAGACTCAAAAAAAGATATCAGTTTTGTCTTCAGATCATCAGAGAACTCAAAGGCACAGACGAAGAAGGAGATCAGTTCATCGTTGAAGACGAAAATGATGGCTGTTTGTCGCCTGAAGAAAGAAGAAGACGAAAAACAATGGCTGTTTGTCGCCTGGAGAAAGAAGATGACTGGACCATGGAGAATGGATGCCATTTAGGGCAAAATTACCAAATGGGGGATTTTTTTTTTTTAAATATCATTCAAAATCCAAATCGTCTGGTTCATGGTTTTTGAATAAAACCGGCTGGTTTAACGGTTAACAGATGGTTTCCTTCCTTATGCGGTCCAACTCAAGAACCGGACTGGTGTAGACCCCGGTTCACGGCCCAACCGGCTGGTCCGGTCCGGCTCTAATAACACTGCTGTATATGGATATGTCTGACATTAATCTTGTTCTTGTGTTGGTTAATCAAAGTTTGTATTTTTATTTTTTATTTTTGACTTGTAGGGATGAGAAGTTTGTAATATCTGGCAACTATTTAAATGCAGGGCCACTCACTCGGCTTTTGTTGTACCCTACCAGAAGTATGTGAAAAGCATCACCAATCAGCTACCCATTGGGTCAAGATTTAAAATGAGACTCGATATGGATGATTATCCAGAAAGAAGGTCTTCAATATCTTTATTAAAATAAATATCTTGATTAAATGATCTAACATGTTTTACTGCCTCACAATTTTCTTCAAAGAATGAAATTTCTGCTTTCTTGCAGGTTCAGTGGTGTGGTAACTGGAATAGGTGATTTGGATCACTATAGATGGCCTAAGTCCAAATGGAGATGCTTGCTGGTACACACTGCATTTCCCTTGACATAATAGGGCTTCTTTTTTTTTTTTTTTTGAGCTTCTGTTTAATAATGGTCATATATTTTTTTCCCACCATTAAACTTTTCTTGGATGGCTTGTTTATGATTTCTCTGTACATATGAATCTTGCCTACTTTAACTGCCGCTTTCATCCTGTTTCCAATAGCTTTTTACAGCAGTCTAGACACCATATCAATTTCTTTTTGTTATCTTACCACTATATCCTCAATGGTGATTAGGTGCATGTGATCAGGGATGAATCCAAGGGGTTTGTTTGTGTAGGTAGGATTTTTTTTTTTTGGGGGGGGGGAACCTAGGACTGTTGGCTATCTAGTTAACTAAATCTTTTCCAACTGAAAGTACTATAATGATTTAAAATCATTTACTCAGGGCTAGCATATCCATTCCTAGTGCTTCTCATTAGTGTCTTTATTTTTTTATTTTTCCTTAATCAGATATAAAGAGAATGATGAACAATCTCTTTATGGTTTTTCTCTCCCTTTTCTTTTAAGGTATAGTAAAGACGTAAGATTCAAAAATCTCTAATTTTTTCCTATTTAGACAGAGGAGATTATATATTTTTTGGCAGATTATACTTTTTTATTTATTGCAGTTAATTGATTAGGAAATCTAAACATAGAAGGAAACTATTTAAGGCAAAGTTTTAGCATTTTAGGGGACTCAACTAATATGATTGATGCTGATACTCTGTCCTTTCCTTAGACTAAAGTAATGTTAAGTACTACTTCCCGAAATGTAGCTCCCAGTTTTCGACTATGCAACTAGTGCATTGGCCTAGTGGCAAAGGCTGGGCTATCGAGCAGTAGGCCCTAAGGTTCAAGTCCCATCTATCGCATAACAAAAAAAAACATTATGTCAATGCACAGGGAATTTTTGTAAATTTAATTGAGGGCAGCTTGCCTCACTGCCACCCCTCCCTCCGTTTATGAATGTAATGGTTGATTATTTAATTATATAAGCTTCGTCTATGCAATGGTACTAGAAGTAGGGGTAGACTTTAATTAATATTGAGCGACTAGAAATATTTGTGAGTAAAAATGAGATACAAACTAAGTGTAGAGTCCCCGTATATATAGCCAATGAAACATACAATAAGGATAAAAAGGTAAAAAAGGGAAATTTTAATAAACCCTAATAAACTAAGCTGCTATATCTCCAACACTCCCCCTCAAGCTAGGCGCAAAAATGTCAACTAAGTCAAGCTTGACAACGGAGTCCCGAAGAATGGATAAAGTGACAGATTTGGTGAAAACATCTGCAACCTGATCACTAGTCCCCACAAACGATGGAGTGACCAAGGATCAAAATGTCGTGTCGACACGTCCGAAACGTTTCGGAATTTCAACACTCCGAAACGAAACAGTAGTTGAATCACAAAATTCCAGTGTTTCGGTCGAAACGGTACTGTTTCGGACCGTTTCGGTCGAAACGGCATTGTTTCGAACCGTTTCGACAAAACAGTGATATATTCGGTTCATTATGAATAATTACATTTAATACCCCATTATAATTACATTTAATACCCACTGTAATTACATTTAATACTCACTATAATTATATTTAATATCCCACTATAATTACATTTATTCCCACTGCTCTTCTGTCTTTTATAATTTTTTTGTTATAAGAATAAATAATTACACTTAATACCCTACTATAATTATATTTAATACCCATTATAATTATATTTAATACATACTGTAATTATATTTAATACCTCACTACTGTGCAAGTTTTTTGCTTTTTTTTTTGTTATAAGTATTAACAATTACATTTAATACCCTAATGTAATTATATTTAATACCTACTGTAATTACATTTAATACCCACTGCAATTACATTTAATTTTTAAGTATACATAAGTATCATTAATTTAATTTGATACCCTTCATTATTAGTATTATAATAAAATAGTATTATTAATTGGATTATATTACCGTAATAATATGATTTGGAGTAACTATTGTCATCATGTTTATGTCACATATGGAGTTTCTCTAAGTAGCTACCCATAGCCTACACCGATGTATGAGCCTGCTCGACACTCCACAGGGGAATGGATGTAACCATGTAAGTATGTACTCATTAGCATTCCATGTGTATTATAAGACCTTAATATTATGTAAAAATGTGTTTATTTCATAAAATTAAGTGTTTGAAACTAATTTAAGTGACTTTCGCCTCAAGTCAAGCCTTTTTTTTCCTCAAATTTAAATTTATTCTTGTATAAATTGATGTTAACCTAATAAATATGTTGAATTAATAAATTATTTAGCATATCTTTATAAATTAATGGATTGCATTTGTGTTTCTATGCGTTTCCATATTTTTTCTGCGTTTCCATTGCGTTTTCGAAATGTTTCCGAAACGTTTCTATTTTTGAGTTGACCGAAACGGTACTTCGAAACGAAATTTTGATCCTTGGGAGTGACAATACCATTACTAACCTTCTCCTGAAGAAAGTGAACATCGATCTCTATATGTTTCGTCCTCTCATGTAATACAGAGTCAGAAGCGAGCTGAATAGCAGATCAATTATAATAATATAATGTAGATGAAGAAATCACTGAAAATCCTAACTCGCCAAGAATCAATCGTAACCAGATAATCTCACATATGCCAAGTGTCAGTGCCCAATACTCTGACTCTGCTGATGAGCGAGAGACAACTGACTGTTTCTTGCTCTTTTAAGAGATAGAATAAGTCTCTCGAAAAGCATAGAAACCCCGCAGTAGACTGACCATCACACGTTCTCCCATAATCTGAATCTGAATAACAGGCTAAAGAACTAATCCAAGATCTTGATGCATAGAACAACCCAAGTCCAGGACAAGACTTGAGGTATCGAAGAATATGATAAACTGCATCAAGATGAGATTGACATGGTTTGTGCATGAACTGACTAAATCGGCTGACAGCAAATGAAATGTCTGGCCTAGTGTTGGCTAGGTAGATAAGTCTACCTACCAACCTCTGATAGATAGTCAGATCTCTCAACTCCTCACCTTCAGCAGTAAGCTTCAGGTTTGGAATCATGGGTGATGATCCCGGTTTGCACCTCAGCATCCCAGTGTTTGAGAGAAGATCCAGAACATACTTTCTCTGAGAAAGAATAATATTCCTACTGCTATGGGCAACCTCAATCTCAAGAAAGTATCGCAAAAATCTAAGGTCCTTCACATTAAATGTCTTCCCAAGGTCTACCTTAACTTATGCAGTTCCAGAAATATCATCTCCAGTAATAATAATATCATCAACATATACCAAAAAGATGACACACTGTTCAGAAGTATTCTGTCGAATGAAGCAGGTATAATCAAAATGATATCTGGTGAATCCTAAATGTACAATTACATCACTAAAGCGAAAGAACCATGCTTGTGGTGACTGTTTCGGTTCATAAAGTGACTTACGCAGTCGACATACCATTCCAGCATTCTCCCCTTCACCATGAAAGTCTGGTGGTGGATTTATATAAATAATCTTATCCAGATTACCGTGAAGAAATGCATTCTTCACATCCAACTGATGAAGAGACCAAGAGTACTTCGTAGCCAGAGAAATAATCAATCGAACAGTATTCAATTTTGCCACGGGGGCAAAAGTAGCACCAAAATCACGACCTGGTACCTAAGTAAAGCCCTTCGCCACAAGTATAGCCTTGTGACGATCAATAATACCATCCACAAGAAACTTCAGGGTGTAAACCCAACGACAGCCAACAGGCTTCACCCCTGAAGGTAAAGAGGCAAGATCCCATGTATGATTACACTGAAGAGCATTCATCTCTGTCTGCATGGCAAGAACCCACTGAGGCTCCCTCATAGCCTCTGAAACAGAGCGAGGAACCGGCTGATAATGTCATATTATAAGCTCGAAATGTAAGAGACAAATCACCATAAGAAACATAAGTAGAGATAGGATATAAAATCCTGGCGGTCTAACCATAACGAATAACTGGACGACGATTATGCCGCGGATTACGACGTCCTAAATCATCATCCTCAACTGACAATGTCTCATCATGTAAAGTAACTGGTTCGGTACCTGCAATCTCATCAGTACTAACAACAGGTGCATCAATATGCTCAACGAATTGAGAAGTATTACCTGCATCACCTGAGGTAGTGGGGACATCAGCAGGGAGATAAGAGCGAGGGTGACGAACATAAACCTGCAAAAGAAGAGAGACCGGTGATTTTGTACTGACAAAGATAAGTGGTTGTGGAGGAAGAGAGAATGATGACTCTGTAGTGATAGTGACCAATGACTCTGGCTCTTGTGGTAATGGAAAATCAAAGGGAATATCATCAACTGGAGGGACAGACATAGGACCGGAAGAAAAATAAGGAATATGCTCAAGAAATGTAACATCTAGACTGTAATACATACGATGCCTAATAGGATCATAACACCGATACCCCTTAGACTGATGACAATAGCTTACAAAGACACAACGAATCGCTTTATCATCAAGCTTATGACGAGTAGGAGACCGATCCTGAACAAAACATGTGCATCTAAAAACACGATGGGGGATTGAAAAAAGTGTCCGCTTAGGAAATAAAACCTGTAAGAGAGTCTTGTGCTGAAGAACACGACTCGGTGTACGATTACACAGAAAGGTAGAAGTCAAAACAGCAAAATGTTAATAAGATTTGGTACCCCCATGTCCCTAAGCATACAACGTACCATCCCTATCAGACTCTTATTTTTCTTTTCAGCAACGCCATTTTGCTCAGGAGTATATAGACAAGTGAGTTGTTGAAAAATACCCTGAGAAGAAAGGTGAGACACTAAGGCATCAGACACATGTTCTTTGGCATTATTCGAACGAAGAGCACAAATAATAACATCGAATTGTGTCTTAATCATCTGTAAAAACTGAGTGATTATAGGGAGTACATCAGACTTTCTATGTAAAAGGTAGACTCAAGTACAACGGGTATGATCATTTATAAATGTCACATAGTATCGAGCACTTGATAGAGTAGTAACAAGAGAAGGTCCCCAAATATCAGAGTATATTAGGTCAAATAGCTTGGGTGACTGGTGCATGCGAGGAATATAACTGGTCCTAACATGTTTCGATAGGGAACATATAACACAGTCAAGTTTACCACCAACACAAGCATTGCTCAAAGCAGGAAACAACATATATAAATATTTAAAATTTATATGTCCAAAACGGTCATGCCACAATTGAACAATTTGTGACGAAAAATCATAACGACAACTATTAGGTAAAATACTATCATACAAGTTAGGAACAGATAAAGACAAAACAGGTGTAGGTGATATAGGTGGAGGAACTGGTGAAACTGGAGGTAGATCGCCTAGATAATATAGTCCATCTCTCTCATATCCCCTGATAATAATCCTCATGATATTCAGGTCCTGTAAATAACACGAATCAGATAAGAATACAACGGCACAATGAAAATTTTTGGCTAACTGATGTACAGATAATAGATTCATGGCCAATTTTAGGGCATGAAAACTGAATGTAATGTAAAGCCATCTGGGAGGCGGACTGTACCCCTACTAACAATAGGGGCATGTGTCTCATCTGCTAACTATACCTGTGTATGTAACTGCTCGTCAAAAGTGGTGAAGTGATGAGCCTCACCTGTCATGTGATTATTTTCACTCAAGTCCAGTGTCCAAAGGGAAGACGGACTGGCACAAACATGAAAGGCACGAGGTATACCTGTAGTGGTGGCAGCAGCAGTAGTCGGATTTTGAGAAGTTAGAGCGGACATAAGTATATCCAATCAGGAAGTGATAACATCCATATCACTCTGCTAAGAAAGAGCAGTAGCAGGAGTAGCGGTAGTAAGTGGTGGTATCTTAGCAATAACAGTAGTATGACCGCGAGGAGGTGGCTTAAGCTCAGGATGGAACTTCTAGCAAGTAGCCCTGAGATGTCCTGGTCGGCCACAATAATCACACTGACGAGAATTCCCCTATTTGTGTTGATTTAGGGCACCCTAACGGCGCTGGTCCGAGCGCTGTCCACCCTTGACTGAGGATCCTGAATGAGACCTTGCAGTAGTTACAAGGGTCATTTGATCAGTCGGAGGAGTCAAGGCCACAACTGGAAGTGATGCAATACGGACGCGGCGTTCATGCTGCTCAATCATCGCGTACACCTCATAAAGAGAAGGAAGCATCAACATCGACAAGATCTGGGAACGAGGTCCCTCAAACTCATCACGAAGCTCCATAAGAAACTTGTGAATCCTATCCTCCTACTCTCGAGTATGCAAGAATGTTGCTCCCTCGGGCTCTATCCTCGGAATAGTAGCAAGAGGACGTAGAGTCTCATATTCAAGGCAGCGATGGGTCAAATAGCCATAATAATTCTGAACGGTCATATCTCCCAGCCGAGCATATAAGAGCTCCTGAGAAAGCTCATAAACACGAACTCCCTGTCTTGACTGGGAATACATCTTTGATAATGCGTTCTATAGCTTCGGAACAGAATTATGAAACTGGTGAATCCTGCAAACAGATGGCTCCATTGAGCCAAATAACCATCCAAGACTGGCGCAGTTCTCAGAGAACCACACAGAATATCCAGGGTCGGCATCAGTTGACTTTGGGTGAGATCCCGTCAGCCAACCAAGCTTCCCTATACGGCCTAAGAAAAGCTGGAATGAGCGAGACCACTCAGTGAAGTTACGGCCATTCAACAACTGTGTCGTAACTTTCTGAGAGATCATGCCCGACAGTGCTGGTAATGCAACTATGCCAGTAGGTACTGTATACTAGTCAAACATAAAAGTAAAAGTACCAATAGATGTCTCAACGGTAGAGGTGTCAACAATAGGGATTTCAAGTCCCGCAGTAGTAATCATATCAACAATACTAGGGCACCCGTGACAAAAACAACTCTTAAGATAAATAGATGGATAAAATAAGAGAAAAAAATATACCTCCAGTCAAACAGTCGTGACAAATAAAGAAGGTCCAGAAAGCTCCCAAATAATAAGTCACGATGCTCAGAAATCTAATAAATATAAATAAATGATCTACTGCATCAAGAGCAGATCAACGGAGAAGAAGATTCAACCCTCTTAAAAAAGTCCTAGATACTGCAACCTGCCAACATTGTGACGAAGAATGCGAAGAACGAAGCCACAACAAAAAACGCGACCCGACAGTGGACTGATGAGTGGGCTGGTCTGGGCTGTGGACTGATCTGGGTTTATTGTTGGGCTGGTCTATTTTTTTTTACTGGTCTGGGTTTATTTGGTCTCTTGGAAGAGTTGTCGCTGGAAGAGTTGTTGCTGGGTGCAGTTGGTGTTGTTTTTCTGGAGCATTGTGCTTTGCTGGGTTGGGCAGGTTGCAGTTGCGGCTGTGCTGGATTGTCGCTGGTTTCGTGTTTCGCTGGGCAGTGGCTGTAACGTGGTGCAGTGATTGGCAATGGAATAGAATTTGGCAGTATGCTGGTCAGTCGGTGGAGTTGCTGTCGATGGAGTTGCTGTCAGTGGAGTTGTGTTTGAGGTTTAAATGGAGTTGGCTGTGATGTTTGGCTGAGGCTAGGGTTAGAGTTAGAGTTAAGGTTGTGGCTCTGCTACTAGCTAGAAATATTTGTGAGTAAAAATAGAATACAAACTAAGTGTAGAACCTCCGTATATATAGCCAATGAAAAATACAATAAGGAAAAAAAGGTAAAAAAAAGGAAACTTTAATAAACCCGAATAAACTAAGCTGCTATATCTCTAAAAGAACGAAATAATAAGAAAATATATGAAAATATTTAACTTAAATGAGCATATAGCTTATGATCAAAATGAACGGCGAAGACGGACTCATATAGCCGACCCCAAATGATTGGGACATAAGACTTGGTTTTGTTTAGTTTGTATTGGTTTGGTTTGCTTCGTCTATGCAACAATGAAATGTCTTGAAGCCTGTTGTTGATTTACTTTTTATCAGCGAAGATGGAGAACTTTACTTCGTTATTCATAGCTTCTGTTTTGGTGTTAACATTACCTCAGCCACGAGATTACAGGTACAAGAATCAACAACCTTTTCAAAAATGTCCACAGCTTCTACTACCAAATTTTTAGACTGCTGGACTGATTTTCTTCTATGCGACAGTTACAAATTCTAGACTGAGGGCCTGGTTTAAATGGCCCAATAACTTTCATGCAGAGCCAACTGATGAACCTAACCTGGTTACCATTGCCCATATTGTTTTAATTTCTGACGACAACTATCTTTTGCCCCATTCTGTAAGTTTGCCACTTTCCAGGAAATCACCGAATTGTTGGGTGTCATGACCACCAATATGCACCAAATTTGGTGTGAGCATAATTGTTTAAAAAGACATTGTTGCTATATTTAAGATTTTATGGTGTACTTTGTTGTCTAATAGAGGGAAATTTTCATAACAGTTCCTTGATGATCATTTCTTGAGACCTATTCTATATGAGTACATAACAGGTCAGGTGGGAAGAAGATTTTGTAAGTGATCATCAAGAACGGATTTCCCCATGGGAGATTGATCCTTCAGTTTCTCTCCCACCCTTGGGCTTCCAGTCCCCGCCAAGGCTTAAGAAACTGCGGATGAATGTGCAGGCTAGCCCACCCGACACCCCTGTTGGTGGTATATATCTTCCTAATAGATTGCTAAATTAGCATAATAATGTCCGTGCTCACAAGTTAATGAAGCTCGGGCTTATTTTCCTGTGGCAGGTCGGTGTGGGTTTTTGGACTTTGAGGAGTCTGTGAGATCCTCTAAGGTCTTGCAAGGTCAAGAAAATGTAGGTTTGGTGTCACCTTTCTATGGAAGTAATAAGGCGCACCGCCCAGTGGATTTTGGGATGCAATCCATAGCGTGTCAAAGTCTCACGTCAAATGGGATAGAAGGGACAAAATTTGGGGAGTTCGTGAGGAATCAGCCATCCACCACTTACTCGGGCTTTGTGGAATCAAATAGGTTTCCAAAGGTCTTGCAAGGTCAAGAAATTTGCTCATTGAGATCTCTGACTGGAAAAACTGATCTCAACCTTGGTTCTTGGAGAAAATCTGATCTTGGTTGCAATTTTCTCAACATGAATCAAAGACCCACACCCAGTTGCTACCCACTTGCTTCTGAAGGTGTTAGGAACATATTCATTCCTTATAATGACATCTATAGAGCCGGCCAAGATCCTCTAATGTACTCCTATAGGACGAACATCCCAAGAGAAAAAGTCCCTTTCAACCCGACTTCCTTTCAAAGTGGGGTTATGATGGATGAAGTTAAAAGGCCACCAGAAGTGATTTCTGCACCTCTCAATTTGGAAGCAAATTTCAAAAGTCAGAAAGATGATACCTTAAAGGGCTTGGTGAGTTGCTGTAAACTATTTGGGTTTCCCTTGAATGAAGAAATTCCAAGTTCTACTCAGAGGAACCGCACAAAGGTAAGGACAAGCTTTAATAACTGCACACGTTTGGAATACACTCTTTTCTTGACTGGCTCACTGTGTTTTCGTTCCTTGGTAAAGGTCCACAAGCAAGGGAACTTGGTGGGAAGAGCCATTGATCTCTCAAAACTGAATGGTTATGATGACCTGCTGATTGAACTGGAGAAACTCTTTAATATGGTGGGCCTCTTACGAGATCCTGACAAAGGTTGGCGAATTGTGTACACCGACAGTGAGAATGACCTGATGATTGTCGGGGACGACCCATGGGAGTATGTTTTCTCTCACAAAATGAAGTCAAGTTATAAAAGAAATGACTATTTTATGTTTATGTAAATAGCATATATGATTTTATCAAATGATAATTGCATGTTCTCCTGCAAATACTGAATTGGGGGCTGCCCTTCATGTCTTTTGTAGTGAGTTTTGTAATGTGGTGTCCAAGATCCATATATACACCCAAGAAGAAGTGGAACAAATGACAGCTCAGGTGATGTTGGATGATACTCAAAGTTGTTTGGAAGAAGCGCCAGCGGTAATGGGGTGTCGAAGTATTCATCAGTGAGCCAGCCGGGTTCTTCTCCAACAGTGATTAGGGCCTGAAACCCAGTATTCCTTAATTATGAAATTGCTGTCTTCTTGTTTGCTACCTTTTACTCTTGAACTGTAGTATTATCCTCTTTATGGTTCCTAAACTCTTTTAAGTTTAGTACTTGCCATCCTTGGTGGAACATATGACACTTAAGCTGTAAGCTGCTGCTGCTGCTTCACACTTGTGCCATGTTATAAACTGCATGCAGTCATGTGACTAATGTTATGGGTATGTTATGAAATTATGTGAACATTTGGGTGATTATGGTTTCCTAATTCTGGTCTAGGTAAGTTTTAGTTTATGACTTTAAACTCTATTTGAACTTCGAAATTATCTGCCAAAGGAAATTATGTAACGTAACGGTTACACTATGTCATTATCGTCATGTGTAACCGACTAATTATGAATAACTATATAGAACTATTGGGTTTTACCAAATTGTATAACCATCGATAACTTTCACATTCAAAAATTCCATATAAAACAAGTGGTTCATTTTTCTATTTATTTTTTTACTATTAGTTGGTTACACGACATAGTGGTAGCGATGTGGTATCACACCATTGAATTGAAAATTTACTCGCAATGGAGAGGAAAATAATATTTTAGGGTGGTTTCAGTTGTGAGACAGAATGCAGTAACATTTTAGCAAATATATCATGTCTTACTTTAACCTTTATTCTTCTAATTTTATAACTTTAGCCTCTGAACTTTTTAATTTGCATCTAAACAGTTTATTGTTGAAGACAGTTTTTTAATGAATTTCAAGTAGTCAGTTTCACCAATAAGATAGAGAGACTAACTTCACATTTGAAATTGCACAAAAAGAACTATTCGATGACTAAATAATATGACTAATATTATCAACAACTTTAATTGTCTCCCCATGAGACTAATCATTTATACTTTCAGATTTACCTATAGAATTGACCTAATGTCTAACATTAGGTGAGCACAAGGATTAATCTTCTTGTGTGTGTCTTTTTTTTTTTTTTTTATGAATTTTATAGTACTCTTTTTATCCCCCTCTCTTCGGGGTTCTACTTTGGGTTTGTGATTCATTTGAATTTTATTTCATTGTAATAATAGTATACGAGACTTGTAAAGTGACCACTCATTGCATATGGAAAACAAAATTGAATTTCATATTTTCCTTTTAACCCATCCATTATTATTTTTGAACAATTAGTATTTTGATTATATCTATTAATCATGTTAGGTGAGGCGGGTTCGTGTCGAATTTTAATGTGTTTGTGTCAAAAAATATTTTATTTATATTAAATTCATTTATTAATTAGTATTCAACGAATTATGTCATATCTTACATATTAGTTTGATAGTATATGATGACACCATTTGTATACATCAACATGGTGTCATTATTACATTCAATATTTTATAAAAATATTATATACTCACAACCAAACAAATTTACCATCGAGTGAGGTGGTTTAGTAAAGTACTAACCAAAATTTTCATCTTGAGGGGTTAGAGGTTCGAGTCTTGGAGTCTATATTATAATTTGGGGGTTGACCGCTGTAATGACAAATTTTCGTGATGTAATATTAGCACAAAAGTAATGTCAAAATTATATTTTCGATATTTGATTTGGTGAATTTGGTGAAAATAGGGGTTTGACTAACGTGTTCCTTAATCTTCGATTTGATTTTGACTTTGGTTGATTTGTTGAAGACGAGAATCGGATTGACGTGATTCTTGTTCAATCTTTTGACTTTGTAGATTTGCTGAAGATGAGAGTCAGATTGATGTGAATCTTGTTCTTTGATCTTTGACTTGATTTTGTCGAATCTTCTCACTGTTCTTTATATTGAATGACTTAAAAATGATTTGAATCTCTTGAAGAAAGACCTTGGCGGTGTTGGCAGAGTTTTTTCTCTTTAGAGATAAATTTGCAAGACCTCAGTTGGGGATATGCTCCAGCGAAGCTTCGCTGCTGATCTTCTCTTCTCCTTTTGAGACGAACCCAGGCATAGGTTCTTGATCTTTAGTCCTTGACTTCTCTTCTTGGATTTTAGTTAATTTATGAAATTTAAGTCTAACCTATTTTACTTTTTAAAAATTTGTTTAATTTGAGCCTTTGAAATTTAAATATATGTTATTTTAATTTTATTTAACAAATTTGATTAATTATATTTAAGTTTGTATTATTTAAACTGTGAAATTTAGGTTCCACTCTATCCTAATTAATTAAATCTAAACTTGTATCTAACGAGAGCGGTCAAAAACCTATCATTGCACAAGTGATGGTCAATCTTCAAACAAACAAATCCAAATCCAAATCCAAATTTCCGGATCGGATGGAGAGTTATAAATCTGGACGTACTAGAACCGACAACCTAAAAGGTTCGGTCACTCTTCTGCCTAAGCCTCCCTTGTCCACTCTCTCTCTCTCTGGATCTTTCTAGGGTTTCAAATTGTTGGACAGCGAGATTCCAGTAGCCAAAAACATATACAGGTAACTCGGGAAGTATGAACAATTTTGAACACAGAGAAATCAACAATGGGGAAGGGAAAAGATATACTCGGGAAGAAGAAATAGAAGAAGACGAAGAAGATGAAGATGAGGGAAACGGGAGAGGTCTTGATGCATGGGAGAGAGCTTATGCAGACGAGAGATCATGGGAATCCCTACAAGAGGATGAATCAGGACTCCTTCGTCCTATTGACAACAAAACCCTCTACCATGCTCAGTATCGTAGGCGCCTGCGTTCCCTCTCATCCACTGCAAGAGCTGCTCGAATTCAGAAAGGCCTCATTCGCTATCTCTACGTTGTCATTGATCTATCGCGGGTTTGTTAAAATTCATTTTGTCATTGTCATTGCTTCTTGATCCCTCATTACTTACTATTGAACAATTGTGAAATTAAAGACATTGTGTGAATAATTGATTTCTTTTAGGTAAACAGAAAAAGGTGAATTGCCTTTACTGTTATCCATGCATTGATCCAAAGAAGCATGGTTTCTATATTCAGGGAGAAAAGAATAGGAAATTGACCGCACCTCTGGTCATTGTGAAAACAATTCTAGTCAAATAATCGGATTCATATATTAATTGGAATTCAAGTTTGTTTCTCTTTTAATTTTTTATTGATAAAATTCTCTCTGACAGACTCACTGCAGTGGTTTCTCTACCTTTGAAATTCTCTCTGACAGACTCACTGCATTGGTTTCTCTACCTTTGAGTTCAAAACTGGATTAGGGCTAGCTAAATAAGTGTACCTAGTTGAGGAAAGCTGAATCTTTATAGGTCAATCGGCTCTTTTGGTTAGCCTGTCTCGTCATTGCTTTGTTTGTCTGTATGCTACACCACTCTGTTAAGGATCTTTGTTTTGTTTGGCAAAAATCTGAATGTAAATGCTTTTTCTAAACATAGATCTTTATGACTTTCTGACCTTATCAGACTTTGGTTTCCGTAATGGTGAGATGGAATTTGGGTTGTTTTGGAGGTTTTTGTTTGTTCCCACGATGCACTTTGTGCATCTAAAGGTATTTAACTATCCAAGCAAGCTCGAAAAGCGTGTTAGAACACCAGAGAACTGGATAATGATTTGGGAATTATCATTAGTTAACCTAAGGAGATGATGGTCTAGGAGAGGTAAAATTAAAGTAACAGCTGCTCTTGTGGCATAAAATCCCACTGTTTTTTCTTGGTGATTGATTCACATTTAATTGAAATTTTGACATGTAGGCAGCGGGAGAGATGGATTTCCGACCAAGCCGAATGGTCGTGGTTGCAAAACAAGTTGAGGCTTTCATTAGGGAATTCTTTGATCAGAATCCACTGAGCCAAATTGGCCTTGTAACTATAAAAGATGGGGTTGCTCAATGCTTAACGGATCTTGGTGGCAGTCCCGAGTCTCATATCAAAGCCTTGATGGGTAAGTTGGAGTGCTCAGGTGATTCCTCCATTCAGAATGCCCTAGATCTTGTTCACGACTATCTTAATCAAATCCCGTCATATGGTCACCGTGAAGTTCTGATCTTGTATTCGGCTCTTAGTACCTGTGATCCGGGTGATATAATGGAGACTATCCAGAAATGCAAGAGATCTAAAGTTAGGTGTTCAGTTATTGGTCTCTCCGCAGAACTCTATATATGCAAACATCTATGCCAAGAAACTGGTGGATCGTATTCTGTTGCATTGGATGAGGTGAGTTCTGCTTATCAAAAGGATATTTAGAAACCATATATGAAGGTGATATGAGTGAATGTGAATTTATGGGAATTTGAGCACAAGATTTTCCATCTAAAATTTAGTTTCCATATCCAAAATCCCTAAATCAAATAAAGGTTGAAGCTCATCATTCACAGAAATCTGAAAATGACTTACAGTTGTCGTACAGAATAGCTAACATTCTCGATTGAATTAGTGAATATGATAATCCAGATATGCCTAAATGCACTTCACCTCTTTCATGAATATGCTTCTCTGATTTATATCTTCGTTGGCAGCCTCACTTAAAAGAACTAGTGCTCGAGCATGCACCACCACCTCCAGCAATAGCAGAATTTGCAATTGCAAATTTGATCAAGATGGGATTCCCACAAAGAGCAGCAGAGGGTGTTATCTCAATTTGTTCGTGTCATAAAGAGGCTAAGGTTGGTGGGGGCTACACTTGTCCAAGATGCAAAGCACGAGTTTGTGAGTTGCCTACTGAATGTCGTATTTGTGGGCTTACCCTTGTTTCTTCTCCCCATTTGGCAAGATCATACCACCATCTTTTTCCCATAACACCGTTTGATGATGTGTCACACTCACGTCTGAGTAATTCCCGTCAAAAGAGACCAATAACTTGTTTTGGTTGCCAACTAAGTCTCCTGAATCAGGGTAAGTACTTCATAGCAAAACCTGGATTGTTGCAAGTGGATTTTGCATAGAATCTTATGACAATGTAGAAGTAGATGTTTGCTCTCTCTTTGCAAGTCTGCGTTATTATTATTGCAGTAATGCATAGCATGAGATGAGATGAATGTAGCATGTTGCTGTATTTTATTTGGGAAATGAACTTACCATGAAGAACAGACAACAATTACGTTGTTGGACATATAAGTACCTTCGTTTTTCAAAAACAAAAATTAAATATACTAAACAAAGCATCTAGGTCAGGTTGTAGTAAAAATGACAAGATATACTTTTGCTTCTTTTATCAGTAGGCTCTTATCTTCATCATAACTTGGTTAAACAACAAGCTATTCTCAATTTCTTATCAACTCGCTATAGATTTATCTGTCCATTTCCCAGTATGACGTTCATTGTGACCAAATTCATCTTTATACCTTGCGTCTAATTCTTACACAAGAAGTCCAAACCCAGAAAGAGCAGTTGTGAGAGAGATAGAGAGAGAGATCAGTTTTGGCAACCTGGCAGATATGCTGAGGGTTAGTTTATGCCATCTTCAATCTGGCAAGTGGCAACATTCAAGAAGAAAACGCAATAACATTTTTTTCCCTGTAGCATTTTCTTTGTGATTACTGATTACCCTTTTGCCTTGTGTTCTAATTATTCCCATGCTGCTTTCAAAATTGGAGATTCCAATCTCTTTCCTAGAAGGTGGTGTTTTATTGATACTTGCTCAAGCAGCCATAGGGTGGTGATCTATAGAAGTTAGGCTATTGACCTCATACGGAAGCATAACATAGAAGCAACTGGTATGTTTCACCATTTCCCTGCTAGTAGCCTGTGTCATCATAGCTATTGTTCATAGGCAATCATTTCCAAATGCAACAAACTGTAGATCAGGAGCTCCAAAGCAAACCATGGAACAATCCTTAGATCTATATTATTTGTATCTGTACTTACTAAACATGTACCAATGTGAAATACTTCTTTTTTGTACCTTATGACTTTTTATGTTGGTTTTGGTGCAGTAAACATGCCCAGCCCTTGTGTTGTTTGCCCGAAATGCAAGCAATACTTTTGCCTTGATTGTGACATTTACATTCATGAGAGCTTGCACAATTGTCCGGGTTGTGACAGCTTCAGGCAGTCTATGTCGAGTAGCAGAACCGAAGAATGACAAACATATTGATTTGTTTCTACAAGATCTAAATGGTTCCCGGAGATTTCCACATTATTTTCCACCACTCAGAAAGTCCCGTTCCCTTTAAGTCATTTCTTGATCAGAAGCAAGCACAAGCTCAGACATTCAGAGGAACTACGGCCTCCATACAAAAGCAAATATGGGTTAGATTATGAAGCAACAATTATTGCTTAGTGCATGAGTTTTGGACTGAATCAATGCATTTGGGCAACTAGTTCTTGGGGTGATATCAAGTTGAAATGGGCCCACACTGACACATTCTGGATCCAGCCCTTTGGAGGACTGCGTTAAACTATGGTATGTGTTGGATGTTTAAATTTTTGTTAGTGTTATAACCTCTTTGTGTATACTTGAGAAAAGGAAAAGAAAGGAGGGAGGGAGAGACTTGATCCATTTCTGCTCACTCGCCATCCTCTGTTGAGATTCTTGGTTAATTTGACGCCTAGAGACGTGAATAATTTTTTTGGTATTTTATTGTTCTCTTTGTAAATTATTAAAGAAAAAATTTTCTTTATACAATATTTGGGCAAGTACGAAATATTTCAAAACCTCTAAAGGTAGTGAGACTTATATTTATCTCATCTAATATTTTGTTTGGGTAGAGAATTAAATGATGGAATAAACATTAAATTATTAAAGAATGTTCACGATAATTTTATCTTAGAGATTTGTTAGGGTAAAAATGTAATTTGTCAAAACATACTCCAACTAGACTATTTAAACACTCGAATAGGTGAGTGTTTTTGAGAGGCTATACTTGAATTTAAAAATATTATTCATCCGGGTTGAAAGTATTTGTAGGTGTTAATATTGAATTCAAAGTGTGTATCTACATAAGAGAAAAAATAAAATAAGGTGAGCCTAGACATTATTTTGTTCAAGATTCTCTCCAATGCCTATACCAAACACCTCAGAGATACGAATCCAACAGCCCAAAGGGTTGTTGGTTAGAGTTTATGGTACTTGCTTGATTTGAGTAGATAACTTTCATGCAGGTTTTGTCCATATGAAGATAAACCAGACACCAGATAAGGCAATGTTTTTATTTAGTTATTTCAGACTTAAAATTCTCACCCTTGTAAGTAGGCCAATGACCACACGCCACGTAATAGACATGTTTGGGTTTAAACTTTGTGAGTTCGTGATAAACGTTGGAAATGCCAAACCCCCCAACTGACTAAACTCGACACAAGCCCAATTAAATGTATACATAACGTCAAAAATAAAACATTAGGTCAAACTCTTCTTTAGTGCAAGGTAATAACTATGAATAGTCATCAACTTCCGAGAAAAGGTAGAAGAATTGAGACCTATTCTAAGACATACAATGCATTACTGACTTGAGATCATTACGCCTCTATTCCACCTCTTAGAAAGAGAATACCTTAAATCAAAATAATCCTTGCATCAAGAAAAGCATGACCCGGTTGTCAAATTGATACAATTAAACTAAAAGTTGCACTTGCCAATTATCCATCTGGAAAATATTATATATTTCTATAAATTGCTGAATCCCGGTGGGTGAAAAAGAAGAGACATTTACCGGTCAACCATTTGCTCTCTTCAGAAGAATGTGGTTATTTGTGTCACTACAAGAGGCTCCCCAAACATCCGAAGGTAAATTCCCAATCCATGTTTTAAAATTTCACATTAAAACTTGTGTCTGATGTATAATTTTGCCGCACTGAGACCTGCAAGTCATCCGGGAAAAAAAAAAAAAAAGTGCAATAAAGAAAGTATACCAGACCTGCCAAGTGAAAAAAAAAAAAATTAGACCATATAATTTATCATTAAAGTGGGACTAAATCTAGGATTTAAAAGAAAAGTAAACAAGCTCACCCATAAAAAAGAATTCCCCAAGGTGCCAGCACACTCTTCAAACCGGAGAATTTGTTCATCGTGTGCCTCTCAGCAATTGAGATTACCGTTGCATGGGGAGAATGGAATGTTTGACAGCCTTTTCTTCAATGTACAAACACAATTCAACTTGGTAGTATGAAGTGCTGGATCACCAAGCCAGTCTGGGAAAGGTCTTCTTCAAGCAAACAGATCGCACAGCAATTCAGACGAAAAAGTAAGACAGAAATAAGTCCTCGTATCAAGGTCCATCTATTCTACTCGGAGTCTGTGTCTATTGAAAGATACAATCTCGGTCTTACAGAACGTCGTCCGCGAGGAAACGAGAAAGGACTATCTGATCTTTCCCTAGTTCTCGTCACCGGGTGGTTGTCATTCATACCAAGCAGCAAAGAAGCTGTAGAAACATGAAGAGAGGAGAATTTCAGCAGGTGACAGAAGGTAAATAAGCAAAGAGAGGGATAGTATAACACAACAGTAATATTGCCTTTTTGGTTCCAAGAGATAGAAACCTGTACAGAATGCCCAACAGAAAGAGATCTACCAAGTAAATAATTCACAACACTACAAAAGGTCCGCTCACATCAGGTCTAATTTTCAATCCATTAACAATGTCCGACTACTTTGGATTAGCTTGTTTATTCTGACAGACAGGAGAGTCAAATATCAACTTGCCACAGCAGATCAATTTATTAAAGTAAGCAAAATGTCACCTCTCAAAGTGAGAAGGTAACTTCATTTTAGGAGTGGGCAAAGGAAAAAAGGAGGGGGAAAAAAAAAGAAAGCCAAAAAAAGAAAAGAGAGAAAGAACAAAGCACATGTATACTCTGCAATGAGGCTCCTAAAGACCATAATCATTTGTTTTTTTGCTGCTCCTATTCTTCTAGAATTTGGATAGCAGTATTACAAAAGTGTGATATTATATTTCAGTCAACATCTTGGGATGAGTTGGTAAATGAAGCTGCTATGAAATGGAGGCAAAAAACATTACAAAATACTATTGCAAAGCTTTGTTTATCTAGAACAATGTACTACATTTGCTGTGAAAGAAATTTGAGAATTTTCTGCAACTCTTTCAAGGACCCTTGCATAACTTTGAGGGTTATAAATAACATGATTTCATACAGGTTGTCCTCTTTGAAGATTTCGGATTCTTCTTCAGCTAGGCATGTTATGGGGATTTGGAGCATCGAATGGTAGTTTGATGAATGAGTTGCTGGAAAGTACTGGCTTGACTTGTATGGATGATGTTCTGGACATTGGGATTAATTGATGTTGTTCAGGTAAATATGTCTTCTGTTCTTAAATCTTTTGATTCACTTGTATTGTTGTTTGAGGAGTGGGGTGTGGAGCTGAATTTACTGCTAGTAATAGATCATTCTACTTTGCTGAATGTATCTCTAATTAGGGGTTTTTTTGTTACTTTTCCCCTTTCTTTGTAAAGCTCTAACTCATATCAATATAAAATATTGTTTATTTACCAAAGAAATAAAGAAAGAACAAAGCACATACCTGTGTCTGCCAATGAGTCCAAGGCACCTTCTTCCGATTGTAATTGCTGTCTTGAATCTAATCCACCATTTGCAGCTTCAGGCTCACCATGAACCACACCCCCACCATCCCCTAGCCTGAGAGAAATCCAATCCTCGGTATGGACACCATTTGCCACATCCAGTTGATCTCTTACATCAGCCTGTGCTGTTACCCCTGAAGGCCTTGTAGGTAAAAATATTTGAAGAGAAGGGTCATCCCCACCAAATGCCAAGGTATTATCAACTAACCCGCCATTTATGTCAGCATTCACATGGTCAACAGAAGACTCAGGGACTAGAGCAGCAGATCCCATGGCAGTCTCAGCAGTCAATGTGTAGCCATTTATTGGTGTGGGACAGTTCATTGAACCATGATGCACGTCAACAAAGGCATCTGAGACGTCTGCATCGGTACCAAATAACTGAAAACCAGGGCCTACCTGGGCAGAAGGTAAAGACCACATGGACATCCCAAATTCATCATTGTTGCCATTGAAAAGCCCCAGACCTGAACTCCCACCAGTACCAAGGGCAGGATCTTCATGATAAGAATCTGGATATCCATGTGGAGGAACTGAAAATGTTACTGCACCAGCATCAGTCTGAGAGTCCATGAAAACTGTTCCAGAAGAAATCAAGGGTTCATTTTCATCATCAGAATCACTGAGAACAATGACTTCAGCATCCCCCAGAGGAGCAGAAGAATTTCGGTCAGTAAATCCATATCTTGGATCACTGTTCAAAGCAATAGAATCCAACTCAATCCCATTGTTGCTCGAAAAATCAAAGTTCCCACCACCATCCTGATTGACGCTGGGATCTTCGCCATCCCTACCACTGCCAGTTGCACTGCTGCTCATAGGAATTACTTTCTGACCATAGTGTTCAAAATTATCTTGTAGTCTATTGCCTGAAGAGAGTGTATGCATATCTTCAGGTTTGCTGACCTCCCAAAAGCCATTTTGATTCTTTTTGATTCCAAGTTTCAAACCCGTATGACCATCAGAAGTACCTTCCTGCTTAATCTGCTTAAAAACTTCGGGTTTGGGTTTAGCTTCTCCCTCCTTATGGGCACAGAGAGAACCATCAGGTAGGTGCCACTGCCAAAGATCCCCCAGACTCCTGCCACTACTTTCTGCTTTTGCACGCCAAGAACCATCAGGCTTCACCTCAATCTCTGTCACATCTTCTCCACAATTCCGCATCTGTATGGCAGTATCAAAACAAAGCATAATATGCATGGGTTGAAAGGACACATAATAGACTAAAATAAAATTTTACAATGTGCACTACCTTAGACGTGATACGATTGAAATAGGGATCGATGATTATGTTCTCCAAAGAGTAGTTCTTGAGACAAATGGGGCATTGCCACTGCAACCATATAAACGGTAGCTAACATACCCAAATTGGCTAAAGTGGCTAAAAAAGACTGAACGAGATATTCAACAAAAGAAGACCAAACGATATATATAATTATCATTCATGGTTGCTTGCCTTCCTAGACCGTTGGTTCATTTCGACAAATACTTCAAGATCAAAACAGCCCATGTGCACGCAAGGTTTGAATCTTCCAGCAGTCTTGATTCTCGAACCACTCATCTGTAACATATACAAAAACAAATAACTGAAAAATACGTTCAAAAATCAATGATTGTTGTATCACTCCGATACACGTGCAATCTTAGAAATCAAAGCAGTAAAAAAAAGCTACAACACAGCAAAGCCCCATGACAACTACTCAAACATATGCTATACTCCACGTAAGAAATATTAGTGTTCAAAAGTCATCATACAAATTTATGGACATATTACCATTGGCACAGAGATCCTTTGCCCAGTTATCAGGGCCACATATATATCTCAGTGCATCAAGTCTTGATTATTTCCAGATGGCCATGGCAAGGTCACTACTCGATGTTGATTCCCATTGACTGAGGGTGCTAGGAGCGTAAATTTAGTAAACCTAAAATTTGGCATTATTGCGTATAGTGGCTATTCTCAAACTCCAACCATGATCTCACGCTTGGCAGCATTTTTAGATAATACTAAGAACCATACGGTACAATTAGGATTTCAAAGACTAGAGATACTTTTGGCATACATGTTAGAATAGATTATGCTAGAATTCATCAGTTTAGATAACCCTACAAGCAAGAAAAAGGGGAAAAAAAACTGCATAAAAATCACATTTCTAAATTTTTAAGTTAATTTTTTTGGAATGCATGATTTTCTCATAAGAAACAACAGTCAATGGACTTCAGCAGAAACCCTAAAGTTATATCCAGTTCAACATGATACCCACCAATATCTCCATATCTTGTGAGATGTGCAATTTAAGCACACACATAAATTACGATTCTCATATGAATCTCATATCAACATGCCACAATAAGCATCGAATTCACCACAACATCACAATATATTATGGGATGTTATTCCAGGCTTTACTACTTGACAACCAAAAACTTTAGCAGCGCACAAAATAAGAAGATAATGTACTAGCATCTTTGGAACTGCACACCTAACAACCACTGCTGCCTCATCATCCAAAAGTGCAACGCACAATTTAGAACAAATATGGCAAAACAAGACAATTACAAAGAGACAAGTGAAAGGGCCAAAAGGACAGTTTAAGTAGAGTCCAGTTAGATGTGTGGATTTTGTAGAAGCAGAAAAGCAAGGGGGAATAGGTATAAAAAAGTATATGGCCTTCAACTCTGAATGCTAAAGACCGTTTCTTGAATTCCAAACACGAGATTTTTTTTATCAAAACAAAAGAGTATGTTTATTGAATTACCGGCACCAAATGTCCAAAAAAAATTAACCATTTGATTATCAAAAACTAAACACTAGCGTTACTTGCAACATTGTTCGCGAACAAACAAAAAATATATTGATGTAATACTAGAGATTTTTGCTCTCTTCATTTCAACAAGACAAAAAAGTCTTATGTACATCACTACAACAGCTACTTCCAAAAGTAAAGCAAAGTCATACAAACACCTTGCTCCGTTATAGTTTACAGTAAAGTAGAAAAAGTTAATCTAAAAAAGAGATGTGCACAGATAAATGCAACTACTTGGTCTGGGTAGTAAGAATCATCCCATTCAATCTAAACAAGGAATAAGAACGGGCCCATCTCCTTAAATCACTCCCACCCTTTATTGATTTATTTATTTATTTATTTTTTTTTTTTTGGGGGGGGGGGGGGGCATTAGCTAATGTCATCTGGGCTTTATTTTTATTTATTTATTTTGTTAAATGTTTATTGAACGCGTTTTTACTTTCCGAAAAAAACATAGAACAGCCAAACAAAAATTTCTACCAAAAATTTATTAAGAGCAGAAAACAAATCAACTTTCTACATTTATACAAGCAATCAACTTGCAAGTCTTATAATGAACACTTGCAATCACATAAATATCATAACTTACAGGGCAACGTAAATTGACAGGAATAGAATCAGCAACAACTTCCAGATCACTGTCACTATCAGCATTCTCTGTTGCAGTTCCACCACCAACACAACGGCGGACACGAGCAAGAGCATCATCAAATTGCTCACCATCAGACTCCTTGGGAATCAAGTTAAAAATCTGAAAAACAAAGCAGGAAAAACAAAATCAAAATGAAGGAAACCAGGGCATTCCAGGGAGCAGCCATTATCCTCCAGCCAATTTGAAGTTGAACATCAAATGATATCATTGTTCCTATCTCAATATTCATATATCCGAAAGTTGCAAAAATTGCAACTCATAGGTCAAAGCTAAAAGAACAATAAGAGAGCATCATTAGAAATATTTTACACAAACAGCAGAAAGAACCCCACCAAACCAGGGAAAAAAAAAACAGATGCCTGATGGTGCACTTTCCTTTGTAACAAGTGCTGATAGTCTGCATAACATAGAAGTGACGCTAAACATTATTATTTTACAAATCCAACCAATCTCAAACATATATAAATGCATCAGTTGTGAATCATTGACAAGCTTCACAGTGCACACAGAACAATGACATGTAAACCAGCACAGAAAATTTCCCCAACACCCATGCTGCTGAAACAAATCAATACAGTATCATACGGACATCATTATAAAAGCGAACGTCCTGAGGTATCAAGCTCACAAACTGATGAAATACTCAAAGAAACTACAATAATTTGTAGACTACAGAGCAGGATCCAGCAACTGAAGCATAGCCACAGTAACAGCTTGAGTGTCATCAACAAATTTTCAATGCAGTAATGACTAAGGAATGATAACCTTTGAACAACGATTATCATTGTGAACATGGTCCATCAGCATGATCATTGTCCTACCCATGAAATGAAATTCATATAAGACAATGGCATATCACCTATAGAAAATCCTGGCAAAACAACAACAAATCTGCTAACATAGGGTTGAATGCAATACAATACAAACTGAAGAGACAATAATCCACAATGAATACGAATTAAATTGTGTTTCATTACTCTCCACTCTCCAATTAAGGGACCTCAGAGCAAGAATTAGCCTACCTGTTGGACAGTACGCCTCTGTACAATTCTGACCCCAAAACAGAATACGCGGGCATCACATCCTGTTAGGGAAATTTTATTAATCCCATCTCTGGTGCATGGTGTGATCTGACAAAACAAGTAATGAACTGAGAAAAGCACCCAAGACCATCAAACACGGGGCTCTTAAAACTGTAATCCTAGCACCAATCAATGGAAGTTATCATAAGCAAAGTGGACAAATGCTCCTCACAATCAATATCTCACACAAGTAACAAAGGAATCAACTGAAAGATAACCAGGCAGTCAGAAAGTTCTCAAAACAACGGGATTGGCAACTAAAACAGATGTTTGCAAAGGGTGAAAAAACTCACGATGGGGCCATCATCACGTCCATTAGTTCCAAGCAACTGTGACCCCGGTCTGTTTATGGCCCGCACCGGCACACCTGTTGGGTACATACAATATGAAACAAAGATAGCGTCAAATATGGAATCCAACAAAAAAAAGAACGGAAAATTCAAAATAGGAAAATACACCCTAACTAGATGTCAAGATATGTTTGATATAAGGTCAAACTTTGAAGCCTACATATTGTAAGTCTGCAGCATCAGTAATATCTAATTGAGAGGAGAATAATTGAACGAAAACAGCTTAGTATGTTCCTCAAAGATGACAATTTCAAATCAAAAGAGGGGGAGAGGGGAGCAATATTTTTAGCCTCTTGCCTAAACAAAACACGAGTTGAGCAAAATAAACATAAAGCTTACCATTGACCTGCAAGTCCGCATATTGTGGCCACTGCATCCTGAATGGTACCTTGTCATTAAGCAGCATACACCATGCCTAAACCATAATGAGGCAATCATCATAAGTATATCTCTATTCTCTAACCCTGCCTGCTGCCACTATCACCACCAAATCTGACTATAAAATTTAAGGCTAGTGCACCCAGAGTGGGTGGCCTATATTTTCATCAGATAGCATATGGTACACTGACCAACCTGTACATCATACTCTTGTTTAGACAACAAATCCTTGTCCGCCCTTGAAAGTTGAAATGTTTTCTCAAACACAGGGTTTGTCCTGCAAAAATGGTACAGATAAAGATAACAGAAGAGAACAGCAGATGCATGCAGACCCTCAGAAGCACACACGTGAAGAACCACAAATGTTCGAGGATACTATATAACTTAGTCCCCAGCAAAAACACAAAAACCAATGTTTCTCCTCTTTCACACACAAGTATAGGGACATTAGGGATGCTGTTACATGGAGTACGTGATGGCAAAGGATGGACAAAGAAGAATAAGGATCATGCCCAAAAAGCAAATGAAAATATCATCAAAAAGAAAATGAGGGAAAAAAACATCTCCAAATCATTCAATTAATAACATAAGCTGATCTCTATCTAACCATCACACATCTACATCCAGTAGCAGTGAAAACTAACCGTTAGCAAAAAAAGAAAATTAAAATGGATAAACCACCCATCTATCAGAACCATCAGGATTTTGCATAACCAAAAAAAAAAAAACTGGCAAAGAAACATTTGAGTTTTTGTAAACCGATGAAAAGTTATTCTTGCATGCTGCTTACATCATACAAAGTGCACACATTCACCAAAAGCATGAACAAAGACAGTCATCAACAGACAGATTGATGTAGTTGCTAAACAATTTCATCACACTAAATCAGTAACACTGAATACTGCATCCTAGTCGCTAGAACTAGCATCACAAAGGGATATATCACTGGCAGCCCTCGTCAATCTTGAAGCACATGTTTCCACATGCCAAATCAAGAGTCAAATTCATAGTAGTCCCCATATAAAATTCAGTGACACCCGGATCTTTTTAAACAGATAGCTGGCCACTAACAGTATTGTAGTCATAAGCTAAGCACCATAAATTGACATTGAATCACGGAAATTTAGAACCAATATAATGAACCTCAGAATTCTTGTTTCATTAAATAACCAGCTTTGATTTATGACTTCCAAACACTGGACATCAAATAATAATCTGAAATTTCAAACATACAGAGAAAGAAATTAAATTGATGAAAAACCTAATAATAAATAATAAACTCAGAGGAGCATATAAACCACTAGGTATTCTATCCACATGAATAATTTTGTTGAAGTGAAAATCAGTCCAACTTCATATGTTTTCGCCCACAGGAGGATAATAAAAATAAATGAGAACTTTGCTCTACAACAACTGATTTCTGCTCACATCATATCAATTTTTTTTAATATAAGAAACTGAATTTTGTTAATAAAATAAGAAAGTATTACACGGGCTGAAACAAAGGCACATCATATCAGAATTGTTGCAAGGATTAAAACAATTAAAAAAATTACAGTTTCACATTGTAAAAATCAGGAGTCACTTGGGGAAGGGGAAAAAAGCAGATCATGCACTCACCCGTCTGTTGGAACACTTGCAATAATCAGCTTAACAGGATATAATGGAAGTCCCACTGTCACCCAGAAGCTGCATTAAAAAACCGATTAGAAAGTAGTTTCTACTTCCATCAAGTAAAACTCTACGCGTGAATCTGACCATACTAAAATTATTTATTAGTGAAGCAGCCCAATGAAATATCTACATTGGCAATGGGTTAAAGTTTATGTTAGGTTTTTCAGATGCATTCACTGCCCGTCTGATAAATGGTTTCAAATAGCCAACCAAAACCAGGCAGGTTGAGCCAAGGAGGAAAAACCAGGACAATCTTTTCAACCTCTACAGAAGGCCTGATCAAAAAAGTCAAAAAATGTACATCTCTTCTCCAAATTTCATCAAATCATGTACGCTCCTAGCTTTAAATGCCAGAAAAAAAAAATATATACACCATTACATAGGAAACTTTGGCTGTGACTCGGTGAACACCTGTAGTGTGCAATAATAAAGATGACAAAAATGAAGGATAATCACCGACAGACAAATGGAGAAGACTAGTTACAGATTTGCTACCCCATTCTGCTGATCTAATGAAATTAGTCCTTGTGCAAATAGCAGAAGACACCTCTATAGATACTATATATTTGGACTCATGAGAGTCTCTAACTTCCCATCATTCCGACTGATATTAGATTTCCAGTTAGTCTGTAAGGTATCAGTATGACACAGAAACTGAGAAAATGCAGAAAACGCCAATCTCATCATAAAATGCCACATGATTTTACAAGTTTGTACACCATATATGATATTAAGCACTGCAAACAAGACTACGCATAAAACCTAAACCTGTACTATCAAACTCTGAGAAGACTAACAAAATAATTATAAGAAATTTCATCAATAGGACAAAGAGGAAGGGGAAAAAAGTAATCTATCCAATGAACCATCCAACATCATTAAAACCCAGCAACAGAAAGAAGAGGGAGAAAATAAAAACATGAATGTCACTTACGGGTCTGCCCGACTCAGTCTACAGAGTTCACAGTAATAAATATCAGGAGGAACAGGTGGCACACCATCTACAGGTTTCTCCGGAATCATAACACAACCAATATGCTGCCATACATTACATTTTGGATCCTCACACTGCCAAAAAAACCACAATTATGAATTAAAGTGAGCACATTCCATTAAAATCTAGAGCGCGACAGCACATACATAATATTTTCTTTAGCAACATGGACCAATTTGACAAATGGAATTGGTGACATACATGAACGCAAATGGCATTTAAATTGGAACAAAGTCCCGTTACTCCAACTGATACAAGAAGCCAAACTGTTCTTGTATCGAAAATCTTTTTGCACCGACATCAGTTGCCAGGGGTATTCTGCTGTGCTATTTAACAGACACGATATAGGTTTAACTAGAAAATATCCTGAGGGTCATTATCACCCAGTTAGTCAAGGGTGCTAGGAGGCTGAACTAAATAAACTTTTGGCCTTATTTGCAAAAAACAATTGTCCTCGGATTCAAACCCATAACCTTTAGGTTGTCAGTCTTACGATTTTATCACTGCACCACGCAATCATCCATCAAAAGTTAATGCACAACACGGATAGAAAATTAAGCATTTGTGAATACTAAGAAGAAGAATAAAATCCAAATGTTGCAGGATACTGAAAAAATAACAGTACAAAAACTCAGAAGTGAGCCAAAATCACTAGCAAAACACCCGGGAATTTGGTGGTGCTACAACTTTGATCTCATAAAAACAATATGAGTGAGAGTGTGTGTGTGTGTATGAGAGAGAGAGAGAGAGAGAGACTTCTACAGGGAAGACAAACAAGATATTGGTGTAACCTTAATCATTGAGTCAGTTTGCAATGAACTTCCACAGGGACACTGAATCTTATACATCTGGTAAGAATCTTCAATTTCCTCTTTGGACTTCAAATTACTGTTTTCTGAGACACCCGGTCCTTTTGATGATAAATCTGGGCCTTTCGATGCTAAATCAGTTGCCCCAGCAACCTGCATTTTCCTGGGCCGACAAACAAAAAATTTAAGAATGTTAAAGCAACTAATAAAGGAAAGAGAGATGATGACCTATTCCATACATGGGAAAATGTAGTAAATGATCCACGAGAATGGGTTACGAAAATAACCCAAACTCAGATCAATGATGTAGCAAATTACATAAAGTAAAAAAAAAGCACCTGAAGGTGTCATCTACTAGTTTTGCTACTTCTTCCCTTGAAACAGCATTCTTCTTGGCCCACATCCCAGAAACTGCGCAATGAAATATACACAGCTACTCATAGGAAAGCACCAGCACACAAAATGGACACAGATGTTAACAAAATAAAGTCAATAAACACACACACACACAGAGAGAAAAAAAAAAAAGAAGAGAACATAATCCTGTGATGGCCTACAACCAACACTTGGTGCACATGCAATACCAATTAAATAGAGAGAGGAAGAATAAGAGACAGACACCGTTAGAGAGGAAGGAGTGCAACTGTGAAGCGTAGGGTGCTCATCCATAAGGGTTCTAAGGTTTAAAATGTGACGATGAACAACCATGCAAGCTGAAACTAAGATTTGCAGAACTACAGGGAAAAATCAAGCATTGATATTAATAATAGAAGAAACAAGACAATAATTAACCAGAACATAGTCACAAAACTTTGATGAGAAGCAAAACTCGTCACATATTTATATCTTGATTCCTTAAATTCAACAACAAATTATGCAGCAAGAGTATCTTCTGACAGCAAGTTCAGTAATGGCTTCGGCTCACATACGAAGGAATCAGGAAAAGAAACAATTAAGTATATAAGGAAGACTATTTTGGCTGACAAACAATTTATCCATCATTTAGGAAGAAATGGGAGATATATATTTACCTCGTTCGTCAACGAGAATGGCTAATATCCGGTCTACAAGGTCCTATAAAGCAATAAATAGAGACACATCAGCAAATATTTCTACGATATTCCAACTCAAACCCTTGAAACGAGATTCCTTCTGACAGGTCATATAAAAATGAGCAATAAGGACAAACACACAATGATGTAAATAAGCGGATATTCGGCAGTGCATAACATTGTAGGACGTCTTCAAAATTACATGGATAAACAATTGCAAGTTAAGTGTACCAAGAATACATTTATGGGACAAAAAATGGCAGAGAGAAAGAGAGTGAGAGTTCATTTCAAAAAAAGTCCCCATTTTCCTGCTTGAGCAACCTTGAGCACTGAATAAATGTTTGGAAAATGTCCAGTTCCAAGAAGGATGAACATTTGTGCAGACTCACATATTCTAATGGAAATGAAAGACATAGTAAAGCTTCAAGTAAATAGTGTGGTGCTACGAGGAACCAAATGCAAGAAACAATATCAAGAAAAATGCAAAACCCATTGTTCCTACTCTATGGGTAGGACTTCTGGTGTTTGCAACAACGAAACAAACCCCAACTATCAGGTTGCACTAGTCCAAGTTCAGAAAAAGCCAGCAATAGCTCTTTAACAATTCATGTTAGAAAATAAAGCTACAGCCAACAGTAGTAGAGTTTCAGGGGCCAAACCTGCTTCTTTCCTTGCTTTGATAGCCCTAGTTGAGTAAGGACATCCTTGAGCTCCTTTATTCGGAAATATGTCAATTTATCCTGCAAAAGAGAATAAAAAATTGGCACAACTCACAAGCACATTGAAAGCATAAGAAAATAACCTTAATATTAGTCATACATAATGATACACCCAAACACTCTTGAAAATTTAGCCATACATGACGACGATACACCAAAAACCTGTAAAACTTAAAAACACCAAAACAACCTTTTGAAGATTAAGTCATACATTAAAGAGACCAAAAACCTCTACAATCATGATAATAAGGGCACGAATAAGTGAGGGTATCATGACCACTCCTATGGCCAGAATGATGGCTGAAATGAGAGCGTGTAGCAGGCAACAAATGCAAGCATTGGATTAACTAAAGCCATGGAAAATTTCCCCTTAGTTGCAATTTCTAAAGATGCTCAAGAAATTTATGAACTACTGCTGGATTTGGCCACTCTTATGTCAGCCACACCCAGTGCAGAAGCCACAAGCAAGCCAGGTGCCAATCCCCCCCCCTCCCCCGGGGGCGGGCCCCGGAAACCCCCACACACAAAAAGAGAATAAAAACTTTTGAACTGCATTATATCACTTTACACACAATGTTACTTTTCAGCTATTATTGAGGTGGCCCCCTGAAATTCAACTATTTTCAATATGGCACCCTTTAGCCCAACATCATATCTTTTTCCTACTTTACATTGGCCACGTGAACCCATAATTCAGGCTCTGCCCTTGGCCACAATCCATTGTGCAGCATCAGACCCTCTCCAAGACTCGGACCAAGATCGACCAAAACAGGTCATTTTTAGCCTCCCCTCACTTGGAATACTCAAGACGGCTGAATGCCCTCCCCCCCAAAAACAACCAAACTATCAAGCCTAGCTCCACGGCAATATTAAAGAAATTACAAAGTGGAATACTCATTAGTCAGGGAGTCAAGTAGAAAGTGATGGATTTTCTCTTCTATTTTTACAACAAAATATAAGGTAGATCACCCAATAACCAAATGTTATTGCAAGAACTTTCCTAGATTAACATGTAAATTCACGGGCTTCGAACATGACTCGCAAAGTGATCATTACAGCTGAAAATGTAGTAATCTTAAGGTAAATGAGCTCCTCGGTGGATCACGAAAATGTAGTACTCTTAAGGTAAATAAGCTCCTCGGTGGATCACAGTCAAAGGATATCATCCAAGCAAAGGACTGCACTTATCAACTATCTACACCATACAACCGATACCAAGACTTCAATATCACTCTGACCATTTAAGATAATACCATTATAAGCTTATACCTCGTAAACATTTTTACTTTCTAAGATACACAAGTTACTTCTCTTAACCCCCCTAATTACTCTAAATAAAACAAACTTTGCTACTTAAATATCTTACTTTTTCAGATATACAAGTTCCTTCGATTCAACCTTTTACTCTACATAACATTAAAAAAAAAAAAAAGAACCTTAGCTTCGACCTCCTAAAAATAGTGTCAGAACAAGCTAAGTATCAAAACTGAGTGTGATATGAACTCAAATTCTTTAATATAATATATAAATTGAAAACCAGAAGACGGCATCACATAATGAACTTGGGAAAATAGCTTATTGACACTGCAACCCCCACACTAGTAGCAAATGCGCGAAAGATCTACCAACTATGCAACCATCCTTCAAAGAGGCAACCTGCATAAAAACCTAATTATAAATTGAAAACTCCATGAACGGGAGGTGGGGAGAAGACAACCTTTGTTAAAATCAGATAACTCCACACCCTATTAGTTGGACACTGAACTACAAAAAGCCCTATAAAAGGATTACTCTGAGGAAATAACATTAGAATTTAATTTCAATCTTAACATCCACCTTCTTCTCTGCTTACAAGGGCAATGTTACCTACATTGTGGGTCGCTTTAGTATGTGATACAGCTACGAGGACGTGGTACGAGGCTTAGATAGTACAGTATTTTGGGTCGCACTTCATTTTAGAACTCTTATTTAGATCGTTTTCACCACTTTGCAACATTATATATCATAAAACATCCATAAACACTAAGTTAGTTACCATTTATATTACATTTGTGCTCCATTTTTTATTATCTAAAATAATAAATTTATATACACATAATTAATTAATATGTATTTTATTTTTGTACTACGTGTACAATTTGGTATCGTACATTTTAGTGATCTGAATCACGAACCCACCCCATTTGTAATCGATGTCACCAAATTGTAGGTCGTGGGCTTAGTGAATTATGATTACTATGTACAAGAGCACTTTCTAACCGCCAACAATTATAATTAATGGAAACAACATTCCAATTCCTCATTTTCGCTCCCACAGAGTCCTTACATTTCACTCATACTTATTCACACTACATATTTTCCAACAGAAAAGGGAAACCTTTTGATGGCAATCTCACATCACCACAAGTCTTTCCAAGAACCATATCCATCAGTCCTAGACCTCTAGCTTGCACATTTTAACTCTTAATAGTATAATTGATATACCTCAAATCTCATTTCATCATCACTCCCTGATAATAATACCATACTCCCAAGTCCCAAACCAAAACTCTAACTTCATGGTTTAAATCTTAATAGTGGACATCAGATGCATCATTCAAAATCTTCATTCAAAAGCTTCAAAAATCCAACACCCAACCCCTTGTACAAAGCCAGAAGAACCTTTTTTTAATATGAGGTACAGGCCTTTTCCCTAAAGGGGCACAATCCTCCCATCACAAATTTGATACTCGAATGCATCCCCCATACCACTCAAGAAAGAATCACCTGCAACCCCTGAATTGATCCACAGAGAGACCACTGAGACTCACAAGAGTTCACTTTATAGGCAAATATTTAACATAGTGGAAAAACTAATAGAGACATGGATATTTTAGATAATTGCCTGAACCAAAATAATTGGTAAAGCATGGAACTACTTCATCAACTACAAGTACATTCAGAATATAATATATATATATATATATATATATATAACCTTTCTCCGTTATCACTCCATTTGCGAAAACTCAGTTTTCCTTATCAGACATGTTTACCTCATCCATGAGTCCATCACCAGAATTTGACTGAACAATGGCACTAGAAAACTTTGATCAACATCAGATGCCACTATATTCACCCAGATGGATGACTATCAAATAAATCCATGTGGATTAGTATAAGGGCTCCAAGATGAAGTTACACACCATAAAGTGGCAACTGAGCTCATTTCCACGTACAAAGCCAATAAGTATGCATACTTGAACTATTTCAGCATCTCAATCACCAGTGTACCAGATGCCACACTACCCAACACCACTAAATCGATTTGTCCAAAAACTGCAGAAATGACTGCTAAGACAAATGGCCATAATCCAATATGCTAAAGATAAGCTGGTTCTCAATACAAAACCAGCAAGCTCGGCAAGCTAGCATAATTGAACAAGTAAACTGACTCAAATGCTACAAAACATGCTATAACCATTATCAGTCTCCGTAAAATAGTGAACTATTTAAATCTTAATAGTGGACATCAGATGCATCATTCAAAATCTTCATTCAAAAGCTTCAAAAATCCAACACCCAACCCCTTGTACAAAGCCAGAAGAACCTTTTTTTAATATGAGGTACAGGCCTTTTCCCTAAAGGGGCACAATCCTCCCATCACAAATTTGATACTCGAATGCATCCCCCATACCACTCAAGAAAGAATCACCTGCAACCCCTGAATTGATCCACAGAGAGACCACTGAGACTCACAAGAGTTCACTTTATAGGCAAATATTTAACATAGTGGAAAAACTAATAGAGACATGGATATTTTAGATAATTGCCTGAACCAAAATAATTGGTAAAGCATGGAACTACTTCATCAACTACAAGTACATTCAGAATATAATATATATATATATATATATATATATAACCTTTCTCCGTTATCACTCCATTTGCGAAAACTCAGTTTTCCTTATCAGACATGTTTACCTCATCCATGAGTCCATCACCAGAATTTGACTGAACAATGGCACTAGAAAACTTTGATCAACATCAGATGCCACTATATTCACCCAGATGGATGACTATCAAATAAATCCATGTGGATTAGTATAAGGGCTCCAAGATGAAGTTACACACCATAAAGTGGCAACTGAGCTCATTTCCACGTACAAAGCCAATAAGTATGCATACTTGAACTATTTCAGCATCTCAATCACCAGTGTACCAGATGCCACACTACCCAACACCACTAAATCGATTTGTCCAAAAACTGCAGAAATGACTGCTAAGACAAATGGCCATAATCCAATATGCTAAAGATAAGCTGGTTCTCAATACAAAACCAGCAAGCTCGGCAAGCTAGCATAATTGAACAAGTAAACTGACTCAAATGCTACAAAACATGCTATAACCATTATCAGTCTCCGTAAAATAGTGAACTATATTGAACAAATCTCAGAAATATAAGCATTCTATCGCAAAGATGAGAAATTATATACCTTGCAGCTACCCATCAAATCCATCTCAATACCCAATAACCACACCCTGAATCAGTAGTTGTCCCGCAGTTGCAACCGCAAGTAATTAACGACCAAAACAATCAACACAAACCATTTTCCCTCCGAATAACGACCGATCTAATCAACAAATGATCAAATAAATAACATAATTAATACAATTCCAATCAAAAACAAAACACCACACTATGAAGAAACGCCATAAAAACACAAAAGTCAAACCCTAGCGTTCCCTAATTACAATCACCAATCAAATACAGAAAATTATTTCATATACATATATAAGCAAAACTACAGACATACCTGTTGAAATTAAGGTAACTACTCACGTTGGTGAATCGATTGAAGATGAATGGAGAGATTAGTGATGTTTGGTAACAAGGAATTGGTAAATCTTTGGTGGTTTTGGAGTGACTCAAGAGCTTCACGACCACATAGCCTCTCTGTCTCTTCAACAATCGTTTTGTTTCTATTTGACCCGAATGCAGCCGGAGGGTAATACTCCAATACCAAAGCTTCCCGGACGTAACATCGAGTATGAAATCGGGTTTGTTCCGAGCAGACAAGTCCGGGTTTGGATTCTCTGCTCTCTCACTCACGTGTACGCTGGGGGCGTGCTCATTCATTTTTGGTTCTTACGTAAGCGAGTGTGTGGCAATTATGTCTTTTTCCAAGAAAATCTCCGACCAAAAAAATTAAATAAATAACAAAATAAGTGTTTGCCAACGATAGAAAAAAAAAAGGTAGGAAAGTGTATGGCAATTGTGATTGGTGGGGCTCACACGGATATGGACAAAAGGTGGGGGTGTCCACGTAATTACGTGATTATTTCACCAGTGAAAAGACAAAAAGGTTCACGGTTAAATTTAGAAGAATGTTATAAAACTCAAATGCAACCCAAAAAGATGTTACTCAAATACATATTATCTTTTATCTTAGTCTTTGATGAGTGGATCGTATTAAAAAATTGATAAGACTCACTTATCTAATGAATGATATATATTTGAATTATAATTTTTTAAATTACATTTGAGTTATGTAGCATTACTTTTAAATTTCATCGTTAATGATGATGCACAAATTGAGTTTGCACATCACCTGTCAAGTAAACAGTAATAAATACAATATTAAAGTAGGGAGATGAAGAGACAAAAGCGATTTATAGTGGTTCGGTCAACGTGACCTACGTCAACTTTGAATGGCTAGCATCGCTGGGTATTTTTATTATTTCAAGCGTGTATGGAGAGCAGAAAGTTACAAGCTTAAAGAGGGAGAGGAGAGATGTGCTCAATTGAGTGTAATGTCACCTAAGTGTTGATGGGGTTTACAATTTATAGTCGCCCTCTTAATAGATTTTGGCGAGATATTAGCAACTAAACAACTATTCCGGTGGAACTAACGACTTATTCTTAACGGGCAAGGCGTTTGAGGTGCTCTCCATGAGACTCGGTCAAAGGTAAGGGTTAACTATTCCAAGATAACGAGGGTGAGGCTCCTGGATGCTCTCTTATAGCCAAGCTGATGAGTTTGACTGAACCTGGACCTCATTGGGCTTGGCTAGCTGGACTTCTTGGAGTTAGGTCATTAATTCATACTAGGCTTATACATGAGTTGGGTTTGGCCCATCATTTGCCCCTCAATGCCCTATGTCTAGGGCTGTTAATCGAACTGAGCTACTCGAGTTTGGCTTGAGTTCGACTTGTTTTGGACTCGTTCGAACTCGTTCGAATATCTTAAACAAGCCAAGTATGAACACATTTTTAGGCTTGTTTATAAACAAGCCGAGCTCAAGCTTAAATTCGAGCTACTTGACAATCTTGATTAAGCTTGATATCTTTTACCTAGTTTTACTATTAATTTTTAATGGTCCAATTATAGTTGTCCATTCCAAACTCCTATTGAGATCCAACGGTGAGGACATGATCTACATTAACTTGTCTAACCCTAATACACCCCAAACCCAAATCTAAAGGCACCGTTCTTCGAAGCCCGAAGCAGTGAAAGCCTCAAGGCCCTCAACTACATCTCTTGTCTACTAAACTCCATTCTCCGATGATTCTTCGTCTCAACCCAAGATCAGGTGGACAGGTACAACCCACAATCTCTCTCGTCCATTTCTCAACCCAAGTTACTCTGTTTTGTGGCTACTTCTAGTGATGTTTTTGTTGTTTGATGGTTGTTTTTCGGTGATGTTTGTTGTTGCTGCTTGTTGGATGTTGCTTCATTTTTCTGCTCAAGTTTGATGTCCAGATATTGTAAAATTTTGGTGATATCCAGGTACAACCCACAATCTGTTCAGTGGATGTGCATTTTTCTAGTGTTGAATTTGTTAAAATTCAAACCTGTATGCAAAAACTTCAAGCTTGTACGCAAACCTGAATTCGAATTTTTGGATCAAGCTTTATACGAGTTAGAGCTTGGATTTGAGCTTGTTAACAAAAAACAAACCTAATCAGGCCAAGCTTGAACTTCTTCTTTTTTTTTGTCAAGCCGAGCTCGAGCTCGAAAATAAGCTTGGTGATCGAGCTCAAGCCGAGCTTGAGCAACTTCCCAAAATGTCAAACCGAGCCTGAGCATGGTGATGCTCGTCAAGCTTGACTTGATTATCACTCCTACATGTGTCCAATAGAACTTGGAGAAGAGGGCATTCAGTTTAATTTGAATTCTAACTCACGAAGACCCTCTCCCGCTATGTCCATGTTGCACTTCGACTTAGGGATCGACCTGCCCAGACAAGTGGCGACAGCGCCCCCGGACCTTAAACAGTTTTCTGAATTAGATACCAAGGCTCCTTGTTCATTCCTGATGTATTTTAGCTCTGTAGGACATCTACAACTATATAAACTCTTCCTTTTATTCCTCCTCTTGAATTCTAGAAGAGCCAATGATTTTCAATTTGGGTTTTTCTCTCTTTGAAAATACTAGGCTATAAAGTAGAAACCTCCTTCTTCATTCTACCCATTTCCTTCAACTCATTCAAGAGTACTCCTTCTTGAAATCTTTGGAGACCCAAGGTTAGGGATTCTTGGGTTTGAGCATCTAGCCTTTCGATCAATGTCGACTGGAAAGGAAAAGAAGTAAGCACCCATTGTCATTGAGGAAAAAGCAAGCATTGAAGGCAGTGGCCATTTTTTCGTCGAGCACGGTGGAGAAGAGATTGGCTTCAACAGGTGAATGCCCAAGGGCGTTCTTGAGGTTAGAGCCTCTCTCCTCTAGATCTAACTTGGGGGGCGCCTAGGAGGCATAGGAGAGCAGAATGTTCTTTTTTTGTCCATGGGCGAGCTGCGTGAGGTGAGAAAGTTGGGCGCCCATTCAGACGCTGTTCTGGGCAACTCGAGCGTTCAGGAGGTAGCGGTCAGGCATGCAAGCGGTGGTGTAGCGAGCTCAGCTAAGCTGGGCGCACAGAGTAAGACCTTCCTTTCCAAATTCTAGACCTTGTAGGTGTCTGGCCTAACCATTTCTGTTATGAGGTATGATCTTTCCCAGTTCGATCTCAGCTTCCCTTCTCGCGAATCTTTTGTGGCGAGGATCACTTTTTTAAGGGTCAGATCTCTTGGTTGGAAGAAATGAGGCTTCACCCTCGAGTTGTAGTATTTCACCATGTGGCGCTTATACTCTATGTTATGGACCACAACCATCTTCCTTGCCTCCTCTACCAAGTCGAGGTTGATACGGATTTTTTCCTTGTTGGTGATGGGGTCATGGTGTTAGACTTTTAGAGAATGCATCCCGATCTCCACATGAATGACTACTTCAGTTCCAAAGGACAAGGAGAAGGGGGTTTATCTAGTTGGAGTTCTTGGCATAGTTCGGTAAGCTCATAATATGTTGAGGAGTTCGTCAACCCAAAGGCCCTTCGCCCTTTCAAGCCTTGTCTTTAGATTGAGTAACACTGTTCTCACCATGATTTCTGCTTGTCCATTTGCCTGCTGGTGTGCTAGACTAGAATGAGGTTGTTTTATATGAAGGTCGGAGCAGAAGGAGTTCAACAGCTTGTTGTCGAACTGTTTAGCATTGTCTCTGATAATGGCGTGGGGTATCCCGAAGCGATAGACCAGGTTCTTCTAGATAAAATCTTTAACCTTTGTATCTGTGATTTTTGCTAAGGGTTCAGCTTCTGCCCACTTGGTGAAGTAGTCGACTGCTACCACCACGAATTTGCATTGTCCTTTGTCGAGAGGTAGGGGCCTAAGATGTCGATGCCCCACTTGGAGAAAGGCCACGTACTCGAAATAGTTGTCAGCTCCTCTGGTGGTTGCCTGGGTACAGTTACGAAACGCTGACACTTGTCGCACTTTTGGTGAACTCCTGGGCGTCCCACACCATGTTAGGCCAAAAGTAGTCTTATCCGAGCGCCTTGTGAGCAAGGGAGCGTCCTTTAGAGTGGTTTCCACAAATTCCTTCGTAGATCTCTCACAAGGCATAATGAGCTTCTTTCGGGTGAAAGACACTACAACAATGGCAAGGAATAGCTTTTCTTGTATAAAGTGTCTTGTAAGATGGTGAACTTGGAGGCTCTCATCCTGAGTTTTCTAGCCTCTAAAGGGTCATCTGGAAGTGCACTTTCTTGGAAGTATGCCCTTATCAGGGTCATCCAGTTTGAATCAGTAGATGCATAATTGACATCTATGGCTTCCACGTCTAACTTGCTTGGCTTGAATTGGTGACCGATGAATGCTAGTCCTCTTGGTGGGGCTTCCAAGGATGAGACGAGCCTATCGAGTGTGTCTGCAACCATGTTATCTTCTCTCAGGATATGAAAGATCTGAAAGTATTGGAACTTTGTAATCAAGCTTTTCACCATGTCGAGGTATTCCTGCATTCTGGCTCCTTTTGTTTCGAACTTGCTTTTTACTTGATTAACTATTAGCTAAGAATCACTGTAAGTGACAAGGTGTTTGACTTCCATTTCAGTTGCCAATTTAATCTAGAGAGGAGTGCTTCGTTCTTTGCCTCATTGTTGGAAGCAATAAAGTGAAGCTTCACAGCATACTTGATGAGGGTGTCGTCGAGGCTGATCAAGATTAGACCTGCTCCACCTCCTTCACTAATCGAGGAATCGTCCATGTAGAGCTTCTAGAGTGGTAGAGAAGAGGGCTCGGAGATCAATGTGAGAGCCTGGACACCAGGATTGGCACTTGGGAGTGCATGGGGGCCTGAGATGGAAGTATGGGTGCTTAAGATGGAGGTCTGGGAGCCTAAGGAAGAGGGTTGGGTGCTTGAGGAGAAGAGTTGGGCACCTGGGGAGGAGATTTAGGCGCCTAGGAGTGTCTGGGCGCCTGAGGAGGAAGGTTGGGTAGCTAGGATGGCCTGGGCGCCTAATTTGGACGCCTGAGAGTCCCTACTGGGTGTCTAGGTGTCCTCACCAGGCTCCCGGGTGCCCTCGTTTGGCATCTGGGTATCCTCGCTGGTCAAGGTAGAAGACTCGTTGCTTCCTTTCTCTATTGGTTTAAGCTCAACAATGAAATCCGTTAGGGCTTGTGCTTTGATGGTTGCCCTTGGTTGGTAGTGAATATCGAACTCGCCGAGTTTCACTTCCCACTTAAGAAGTCTACCGGATAAGTCCAACTTCCCCAAGACTTTTTTTAGAAGTTGGTCTATGACGACAACAATGATGTGACTCTGA